TCTCTTGGGGCTTAAGCCTTCTCTCTAGCCCAGGAGTTCTGTGGAGTTCAGCTCAGCAAGATAAGGAAGCATTGTTCTGTTTAGAGGAAAAAACAGCCTCCAAAATGCGTGTAGGGAGATGTATGCGAACCCCCTCCCTCTGTGTGTGCAGAGGTTGTTCTGCAGGGTCAGCGGGGGGTGGGGGGAGGTGGGTCTTGGGCCTCCCTCTTTAGAAGGGAGGGACTCTGATTCAGAACTGGGATTTGGGAAGGCGACCAGCCTGGGGTGGGTGGATTGGAGGATTTAAGTCTAGAGACAATGCAGGCCAGGGTGAAGGTGGTGGCATTTCGCAGGTGAGAGAAGATGGTGATGTTGCCTAAGGCAAGATAACAAGGAGGAGGAGAAGGGGATAGATAAAATAGTTCATTAAAAGAGGGAAACCACCCTGGCTGGTATGGCTCACTAGATTGAGCATTGGCCTACAAACCACAAGGTCACCGGTTCAATTCCCAGTCAGGGCACATGCCTGGGTTGCAGGCCAGGTCTCCAGCTGGGGGCGTGTGAGAGGCAACCAAATGGTGTTTCTCTCACACATTAATGTTTCCCTCCCTCTCTTTTAAAAAAAATATTTATTTATTTTTAAAGAGAGGGAAAGGGAAGGAGAAAGAGAAGAAGAGAAACACCAATGTGTGGTTGCCTCTCACATACCTGCTACTGGAGACCTGGCCTACAACCCAGGCATGTGCCCTGACTGGGAATCAAACCCGTGACCCTTTTGTTCGCCGGCCTGCGCTCAATCCACTGAGCTACAACAGCCAGCACTCTCTCCCTCTTTCTTCCTCCCTCCCCCTCTCTCCGAAAATAAATAAATAAAATCTTTAAAAAACAGAGATGGAACCCATGGGATTTGGTGACTGATTGGATGTTGGAGGTGAGCTAGGGACAGGAGGGCATCCAGGGGGATTTCCAGATCTTTCAAATTTTAAAGAAAAAAAAAAAGAATTGCAGGGAGTGAGGGCCGTGGACCCTGGGTTAGGAACCAGGTGTGTCCGTCCCACAGGGTGGGGGGGCCGGGAGGCCAAGGCATCTGTGGGCAGTGGAGGCCAGGACAGAGAGCCCCCCTCCCTTGGACAGGGCTGGCCAAGGTTTCCTGCCTTCTCTCAGAGAAGTGGAGAGGTCGGCCACAGTGCGGCCAGCCTTCGGCGCCCTTCCCAGAGAGGCCAACTTCTTCCAGAGCCAAAAATGGAGAAACTGAGGCTTGTTGCAGAGGCCAGCCGTTTTGACAGACTTGAGGTTACTTGCATAGTAAGTAGAAGATTCTTATCACTCCCCAATCTCTTACCTTTTTTAAAAAAACTGCTCTAGACGGAGGTCTGCATGTTGAGTGGGAACAGATCACTTCCACAGCCTGTATCCCACTAATGAAGAACTGTTAGGATGGCGAACACCCTCCTTCATGTTGCATCATTACTGTTATTATTATTTACATACTTTGTGTAAGCCCTGAGAAAACCGTAACTCATGTGGCTCAGTCCCAGAGTGGAACTGCGTTAAAAAATTCACAGTTTAGCCCTGACTGGTATGGCTCAGTCAAGCCTGCAAACCAAAGGGTCGTTTGATTCCTAGTTGGGGCACATGCCTGGGTTACAGGCCAGGACCCTGGTGGAGGACATATGAGAGGCAACCACACACTGATGTTTCTCTCCCTCTCTTTCTCCCTCCCTTCCCCTCTATCTAAAAAAAAAATAAATAAAATCTGTTTAAAAATTCACAGTTCAAATAGGAATTCCCCCCTTCCCTCACCCTTCTTTGAGGACATACAGCAGCTTGTACGTGGTCCTCGGCAACTCGAGCTAAGACCCTCACATCATCGGTGCGTCTCTGACGTCCTTCAGTTCCTGGGAGCCTCTCACTGCCCCACCCCGGAACCTCCCCTCCCCCATGCTTTCCGGTCCCCACCATCTCCCTGACATGCAGTTTTCATGGCTGGCTAGATTATGAAAGATCAGAAACTCTTTCCTTCCTTGCTTCTGGTTGAGAGCCAGGTAACTTACAAAATTGCTGCTGTGTGACCTTTAGGCAAACTTATAGCACCTTGTATGCGACGGGCTATTTGGAAGAGCTGAAGCATTTCACTGTCCAATCGATGGTGCCCCAAGTTCTAGAAGTCACGGCTTAGACTGGGTGTGGCGGGTTGCAGATGGTTATGGCGGTGGATAGAGGGGGTAGGATGGGGACAGTGTTGGTGAAGTTATTCTGGTGGCGAGAGGAGAATATCTCAGCCAGAGAAGCTTCCCAGCAAGTTTGCTTGTGAACCATCACTGAGAGATGATATGTCTGTACTACAATGCCCATGGGCTCAATAACATGTCTGTGTGGCCCTGGCTGGGTGGCTCAGTGGGTTGGAGCCTTGTCTCATACACCAAATTGTTGAGAGCTTGATCCCTGGTAAGGGCACATACCTAGGTTGTGGGTTTGATCCTTGGTAGGGGCGCATATAGGAGGCAACTGACCAATATTTCTCACATCAGTGTTTCACTCTCTCTCTCTAAAATCAATTTAAAGACCCATATAAGCCCTGGTTGGTGTGGCTCAGTGGATTGAGTGCCTGCCTGAGAAGCAAGGCATCGCTGGTTCGATTCCCAGTCAGGGCACATGCCTGTGTTGTGAACCAAATCCCCAGCAGGGGGTGTGTGAGAGGCAACCACACATTGATGTTTCTCTCCCTGTTTTTCCCTCCCTTCCCCTCTAAAAATAAATAAATAAAATCTTTTAAAAAACCATTTACAAATGTCTGCATGTCTGTAGGCTAATCTTTTGTCTGTCTTCTGTGTTACCCTATTAGTCATAGCAACAAGTATGGGGCAGAGCCTTCAGGGGTGTGGGATGGTGTATGTGTGTTTGTGCAGGGGTTCCTGGTTATAGATGCTTCCAGTTGAAGCTTTGAGCTGTTGGGATTGCGTCATGTGGGTGCTTTACCCTGCACCCTTCCTCTTCGAATTCATACTGCTTCTGCTTCTCCTACATACAAGGCACAAAAAGTCGCAAGCACAAACTGAGCTTCCCAGGAGCTCCAAGAAGGCTCAGCTCTCCGACCCTGGGGAAAACTTTGTTCTCCCCTCTGAGCCTGAGTTCCCCCGTATGGGCTCGAAGGCAGCTAGATGGGAATCCCTTCTCAGAAAGAGCCATGAGTCTGAGTAGTCTCCTTCTCAAAGAAGTTTTACCAGTGTCTAGACAAAGGACACAAGCACCATGGGCTCTAGGCTTCTAGGTGATCAGGGTTTTGATCTCAAAGTGAGCAGTTCCAACAAACATGTCCAATGGTGACTGGACAGGGTACCAGGTGGGATGCATTCAGCTGCAAACAAAAGACAGCCTGCTTCCCAGTGGCAAAAACCGTGGCTGTGACTTTACCAGGGACCCCAGGCTAACTTCATGGCTCAGTGAAATAAACCCTTTTATCCATTCTCCATCCTCAGTGTGTTGATTATCTTTCCCAGCTTCCTGCCTCATGGCCTCAAGAAGGCTGCCTCAGCTCCAGATAACATGCCCTCATGTGATATGATTAGATTATGTTATGATTAATGAATGTGTTATGTTACATAACAAAAGGGACTTGTAGATGTAATTAAGATTACAGACTTCAAGATAGGGAGCACCCTGGCCAGCATGGCTCAGTTGGTTGGGCATCGTCCTGCAAAGCCAAAGGTCTCTGGTTGGTTTCCCGGTCGGGGCACGTGCCTGCGCTGTAGGCCTGATCATCGGGTGGGGCACGTGCAAGATGTAACTGATCCATGTTTCTCTCACACATTGATGTTTCTCTCCCTCTCTCTCCCTCCCTTCCCCTCTTTCTAAAATGAAAAAAGAAAAGAAAAGAAAAGAAAAGATAGGAAGAGTAGCCCTGAGTATCCAGGGAGTCCTAGTCCCAAGACACAAGCCATTCAAGACGCTGGACACAAGGACTCTCTCCAGCCGGAGGCAGTAGAGAGACTCAGGAGGAAGGAAAGCCGGAGAGATTCCGAGTGTGCAAGGGGTCATGTGAGGCTGTCTCCGAGAAGCAGGGCTCACGTGACATTGGGGGCTAAGGGCAGCTCCCGGCTGACACCCAGCGAGGAAGCAGGGACCTCGGTCTCACAGGTGCAGGGAACCGGATTCTGCCAACAACCCGAATGAGCTTGGGCGCAGATCCTCCCCGCAGCCTCTCCAGAAGAGCGCAGCAGCGGGCGACAGCGCTTTCAGCAGAGAAACCGGCCGGGCCGGCCGGCACTTCTGACCTGCAGGACTGTGAGATGATGAATCTGTGTTGTTCCGAGAGGCCAGGCTTTATGGTGATGGCTTGCAAATACGTTTCATTAAGAGCTCATACAGTTACTTGAATACGAGAAGCAGGGGTGGCTCCTTGGGACGCTGCCTCCACTTTTTTCAGAAGTGGATCGATTTCCAGGCACTTCCAGACGCATCTGTGTCACCTTCTCCCTCCAAGTTGTTGCTCAAAACGCTATTCTATCCAACCACCAAATTCACTCCTGCATCCTGTGTGCCTGCCCAGCACTCTGGAAACACTAAATGAGCTGAAATGATGCCTATGACCTTTTCCCCCCCATGACACTCAACCCTTTCTAACATCATAGACGATTCATGATTTATCCTGTTTCTCTCGTATTGTCTTCCCTTCCCCCCTCCCCACCCTGAATAACGCGTCATCTCTTCAAGGGCAGAGATCTGGGTCTGTTTCATTTGCTGGTGTGCCCTAAGCCCCTAAAACAATGCCCAACACGTAGTAGGGCCAAACAAATCTTCCCGGAGGGCAGCCATGGTCACGCATGGACTGGGAGGTCAGTCAGGGTCAGGCATGAGGGGACACAGCTGGGGGCCAGCCTGCACGACTGAGACCGGTAGGGAGGGGGTGGATGACCTGGGTTTATTGTCACTTGTGGGAAACAAAGTAGAAGTTGTGCTCCAGGGAGGAGCCCAGAAAGCCCCTTTCGCTTGCTGGGGCCGGAAAAGAGGGAACCTGCCAGGGGTGGAGAGGGGACAGGGGCTTGGGGAGGAAGGACCCTGTTCCTGTATGAAGGGGACAGATTTGGGAAGTCCACTGGAGTGGGGGCTCATCCTGCCGAGCAGGGCGGAGGGTGGGACCGAGCAGAGGCCGCCTGGGGGGGACTACCGGCTGAGGAACAGTGGGGAGTCAGAAGACTAGAACATTCCTGGCAGAAGCGTGGGGGTGGGGGATGATGGGGTCCTTGGACGCCGGCTGGTCACCCGGCACCGTGGAGTCGGGGAGCGTGGTGAGTGATGTGGCCCTGGCCCGACTGGCTGGGCTGGGCATACAGAGGAGACGGGCTGGAGGCCGCGGGAAGCCGCGGGAGGGCCGTGGGAGGCGGCGCCCTGGGAGACCGAACAGCCAGGCCGCCAGAACCCCCGGCCCAGAGGCCCTGGGACTTGAGGCAAGTCATCTCCCTTCCGCGAGCTTCGGTGTTCTAGCCGCTGAGGCCGGAGAGTGAGCAGCTCAGAAAATTCCTGGGCAAGTGGAATGGGGAAGCTGAGACAGAGGACTGAACAAACCAGGTCACCCAGGTACGGAAGGTCACCGGGGCGGAAAGCCCTGGGCGCCTAGCAACAAGCAAAACAGGTGGTGGACCTTGCCTTCGGGGTGGCCTTCCTCCCGGGCATGCTGGTCCGGCGATTTGGACCTCTGCCCTTTCCTCCCTGGAGATAACACCTAGGCCTCGGGTGGATTCCAGCTCTAGGTGCATCCAGAAAAGCCGCCAAACCAGGCTGGGTCAGGCACCCCTGGGCTCTCCCAGCCCAGCTCACGCTGTGTTTCCCACCCCCTGGTGGAGCCGGGAATCTTACCACAGGCGTCATTCCGGCTCCTTCGGTGTTTCCAGGCTGTTCGTGGTGAACTTGGCATCGGAACTGAGTTTGTGAAGCTGCCAACGACCGTGAGCCATTATTGTTGTCGTTTTCATGGCTGTCGATCATCATAATCTCAGTCCCCGGTTCCTTTAGCTCCCTCGGGCTCCAGTTGCCCCTTCCCCCTCCCTGGATGGCTCTGCATCCTGGCAAAGATCGGGGGAGGGGGGCTGGGGGGCATCTTTCTCAAGAGGGCCCTGGGCCAAGAGGAAGGATATGTTTTCTTTCCCTTTGTCCACCTTGGGGGAAACCCCCTGGGTTCTCCAGGCTCCTGTTCCCTGTGCTGGGAGGAGGAAAAGTGAGGGCACTGGGGGTGGAGGGTGAAGGTGGCGCCACAGTCCCTCCCCTGCCGCCACCACCCCTGTCTGTGCTGGGAGCTGCTGTCACCTAAGCGCCTGTGAGTCTGCAGCAGGCCAGAGGGGACGAGCAGGGAGCCGGAGGGAGGACAGGACGGTGTCCCCGTGTGCAAGGCGGGCCGCACCGAGGCTGGGTGCTGGGAGCCATGGGTCCCCACTGGGCGGGAATCCTGCTCTCAGGTGAGTGTCCTGCTCCCCGCAGACAGGGGTGGGATGGGGGTTGCGTGGGTGCGTCCAGGTGCACAGAACAGAGACAGAGCACAGGGAAACAGAGACACATAGAGACAGACAGAAATAAAGACACACACAAAACAGACTGACAAAGGGGGACGGAGACCAGGGGCAATGACATACACACAGAGACAGAGAGAGACGAAGTCAGAACCACAGAACCAGAGAGAGAGAGAGAGGCCTGGAGTGAGACTGGCAGGGAAAGTTGGAACATAACAGACAGACAGACAGATGGGAGTGAGACAGGTGGAGGGAGGATGCACCAGCCCCGAGCGCGTCCTGAAGTCGTGCATCAGTGCTACCTGAGGAAGACTGTTCTGGAAATGGGTTCTCCCATGGTGCAGTGGGAAAGGAACTTCGGGTCCCTTGAGGAGGAGGGTTTTGAGCAGCAGTGTCCAGGTTTATAAGAAGGCCCCTGAAGAGGCTGCTGCACTCGCCGCGGCACTTCCCGGCACTCAGCTGGTGCCGCGCATCCACTGGGCCCAGGTGCCCCTCGCCCGGCGTCTCAGTTACAGCCAGGTGGTTCAGCTCCGTCTCTCTGTGGGAGAGTCCAGCTTCCAGGGCCATAAGCCCACACCTGCGCCCCAGGAGGGCAGGGCCCGGACTGTGTCATGACCCCGGTGCAGCCTCTGGTCCCCCCACCACTACAGTCCGGCCTACACATCTGCCCACACATCTGTCTTGGAGAGAGACTGGGGCTTTGATGAGCTGCCCTGTACTCCTGGGGCTTGGAAGAAAGCAGGATTTCTTTCAAACTGTACAGTCTCGTTCCTGGCTTTTCCGAGGTCTGTGTCCTCTTCTTATCAGATTTTTTCCCCAGATTTTCCCGGGTTTATTTCCTCCCCTCTGTGGCTTCCATCCTGGCTTCCACTGCGCCTGCACTGCATGTGCACCCAGTGAACACTGAGGGCTCCAGACACCGTTAGCTCCAGACTCCTAACACCGAGTGACTAACACTGTCCTCTCCTCATTAATCTGGCTGTTTTCGTTCTGCTCCCTTTCTTTCTGTTAATATGTAACCAACTCCTACTGGAACATCAGGACAGGGATGGATGTGAAACTTACGCTTAATGGGTATCTGAGGCAAAAGGAGGAAACTGCAATATTTGGATATGGAAAGCATTTTGCAGGCAAAGAAATGATTTGCGATGTGTGGTGTGCAGAGGTGAGGGCTCAGCCGGGCTGCAGGGGCTCCAGAGTCCTTCTGCGGGAGAGGGGGGCGCCGGTGAAGACTCTCCACAGAGGGAGATTTACTTCAGGTGGGTGTGATAAGGCCCCCCGCTGATGCTTTCACTCACATTTTTTCATTGATCTTTACAATAGTTTAATAAGGCAGGGACTGTTATTATCCCATTTTACAGATGGGGAAACTGAGACTCAGAGAACATCACCCCGCCCCCCAAATGGCAAAGCTAGGATTCAAACCCAGGCAGGCAGACTCCAAGCCTGTGGACTTAACCACTAATGGCACTGGCTGCAGAAAATCCAGACATACAAGAGAACAGTAATTAGTGACTGAACAATTTCTGTGAACTGTTTTAAGCGTGTCACCCCTGAGATCTCAACAGACTTCACAACAACCCGAGGCACTAAGTTCTACTGTTCTCCCCATTTCGCAGTTGAAGAAACTGAGGCTCACGAAGACTGAGCCCCTTGCCCACAGCCCACAATAATAGAGCCAGTAGGCATCTGAGTCAGTATTTGCTCCCAAAGAGCTGAGCAGGGAACGGGGCAGTGCTGGGGCCAGACTGGGGTCACGGGGGGGCATAGAGAAGCATGGCTGTCGGCCTCTGTTGCCCGGGCCTCGGGGAAGGGTGAGGGCATGTCAAGCTCAGCTGCACAGGACCGTGGCTGCTGAGCTTAGGGGCCCCCACCCATGCCCACGGTCTCGTCAGGCCTCCGGGAAACTGAGCAGCATGGCCAGGCAGAAAACGGGAGAGTCCTGCTGTCTCGTTTCCCTTTCCTCCCCCGGGCAAGGGGCATCTCTGCCTGGGGGCAAGTCTGAGGGGGTGCCAGGTGAATTCCTCCCCCAACCCCAACAGAAGAGAACAAGCGCCCTTCATCAGGGGTAGGATCTGGGCCCATCCCCGGGCTTGTGGGGTGTGGAGAACGCAGTCTGCAGGAGCTGGTGGGCTGGGTTTAAGTTTGGCTTCTGCTACCTCCTTCCTATGTGGTCTTAGAGAACGACTTCGTCTCTCCTCTCTGAGCACCTCTCTCCCTCTGTGTGCAGTGGGGTAGCTGGTCACACATCTCCCCTGGAGGGAGCCAGGGCTCACTACCACCCCACAACAGCCCTAGGATGCAGGTGGGATTGTGCCCATCTCACAGCTGGGAAAACTGAAGCTCAGAGAAGCTAGAAACATGCCACAAATCACACAGCTAGTAAGCATCGAGTAGGAGTCCAGCCTCTAGGGGTGGAGAGCCGTGTCCATGATCCTCCACTTATGAAGAACATGACTGGACACCCTCTGCCCGCTCAACACACCTCTCCCTCCATGAGCACCTCCTCTCTCCCCTACCAGCCTCACTTTGGACCGTGTGGAGCCTGCCTGCTGCAACCCAGCTTGACCTCAACGCCACACTGCTCAACGTCAGCCTAAGTGAGAAGGATCCCTTCTGTGCTTGGGACCCCTTAGGCACTCCAGACTCACGGCAGATTCAGAGATGTGGGCGTAGAAAGCGAGGCTGTAGTTCTCCAGCACCCATCAGAGTTCCATGTCCATAGTCCCAATGGGACGAACCCAATGGGCCTGGCCGGGGTCTAGCAACTGCTGGTCGGATCAGCTGCACGGGGGGTGGGGGGTGGGGCAGGCGGTAAGTGGTACCAACGTAGCCAGGGGTGGGGGAGGTCAGTGGGCATCCCTGGTGTGGGCTGGATTCTCTTTGGAGCTGACATTGATCAGCCCAGCGTCAGGCCCCAGACCGTCAGCTTTGTTTTTACAACCTCATGATACAAACCTACAGAGAGGGGGAGTAAGTGGCCCGAGATCACGCCCAGAGTGAGCAGCAGCTCTAGGATTTGAGCCCAGGCCCTGAGCCTGTGTGTCTTCTGACAATTCCAACCTCTCCCTGTCTCTCTGGGCTCCTCTGTGATGATGTCTTGCTTGGTCTTTGTCTGTCTGTGTCTCTGCCTCTGTCTGTCTGTCTGTCTGTCTCTCTTGCTCCTTGTGCAGAATTGCCAGCCAAGCCCACCATTTCAGTCAGCCCAGGCATTGTCACAGAGAAAGCGGAAAAGGTGACCTTCCAATGTGACACTAAAGACATCAACCCTGACATCTACTGGGTCTTCGGCAATCGCCCGCTGGTGTTGCACGAGCGCATTCACCTGTCCCCAGACGGCAGGGAGCTCACCATCTTCCCTGTCTTGCGGGGGGACGCCGGGAGTTACCAGTGTGAAGTTTGGGATGTCCAGGGGTCCCAGAGCAGCAATCCCACCTACCTGGTCGTGAACTGTGAGTCCCTTTCTGTGCCCCCTCACCCCTTGCTGACACTCATTTCCTTGGTGTTTTCGTTTAGTCACATAGCTTCAAATACCACCCAAACTCGGACTTGTCTACCCTTGAACCCCAGATGTGTGATGGTTTGATAGCTCTACTTGGATTCTACCAGAAGCATCCAACTTAATGTATCTAAAACTGAGCTTAGCCTTCCCCTGTTTGATTCAAAGTCTTGCCTGGGTCTGAAGAAGGAAAAAGCATTTGCTGGCATGCTTCCGACATCTCTTCCAATCCTGTTCTGTCCAGGAATAAGGCTGGCATTTCATCTCCATTAGATCCCTGCATCTCCTTGTAATTGATCCAGAGCCTGGGTGGGGAGAGGAGAAATAGCAATATTAGCCCTGTCAGATCCTCTGGGAGAGCTGGTGCTGACGCTATTGCTTGCTGCTGTGACTGCCTTTGTCCTCCCAGATGGGCCTGACCCCTTTGACATCAAAGTGGAGCCCAGTGCACCCAGCGGAGAGGTGGTAAAGGTGATAGAGGGCTCCAACGTGACCTTCTCAGCGGAAGCGTGGTCTTATCCAGCCCCAACCTATTCCTGGTTTCTCCCCAACGATTCCGCCCCATCTTTCACTGTGAGAACATTCCGCATCCACGCCGTGTCCAGAGAACAGGAGGGCACGTACAGGTGCTGGGCGAACAACAGTGCCACCCAGCTGTCCCGCCTGGCTGCTCTTAGAGTCCAAGTCCTTGGTGAGTCTCTTCTGTTCTGTTCCTCTCCTTGGTTCCTGTGAGAACCAGAGCCCCCCAGAGTTCAAGGAGGACCCAGAGCAGTGGGGGTGTCCCCCGTGGCTGGTGGCAGAGCAGGGCTCCACCCACAGGGAAGGGCTCAGTTCCTGCTTTGGCAGACCCTCCACGAGACCTTGTCTGTCTGTGTGGGTCGTCGTTATCCAGTTCTCTGGAAGTTGGGGGTTGGTTCTCAACAGACAGAAATACTAACAGGACACACACATTTATACACTCACAGAGTCACCCACACACATGATAATCACGTGTGTGCAGCACATAAGAGACACAAAACACATGAGCACAACATGCAACATGCAATACCACAGGCATGGTGCACATATACCACATGTAACATCCACACAACAGGCATAGACAAGACAATACATAGTACATGGCACTTTGCAAACACAGAACATGTATATACCCACCCACAACACATGTGTACAATATATTCACACGTGCATATACAAATAGAACATGCAGGATATATCTATAAAACAGACACACATATCTCCCATATGACACATCTACAACTAACCACAAACACACAAACTCACTCCCACAAAACTCCCACAAAAACCACATATACGCATAGTAGAACATGGGGCAAAAAAGGACGTTTACAGTTGTTCATATGGAAAAAATGTAGTAACTAATAAATACAAGGATAAACTCTGCGTTTTGTGTACTCACAACTGTGAACCTGCTTTTGTCCCACCCTGCAGATAACATACCCACAACATGCACATCACACTCAACATTTCCACACACAACACAGAAAACACCATGTCATACATTTAACATGCCCCACACACAACTGACATGCAGTGAACACACTCAGTGTATCCATAGACTATACACACCACACAGCCATGTACAAAGCATGTACATATACCATGTAACACATGCATGCAACACACACAATACCACAGACACACAGCACACTCTCATACAGAAACGAATGTGCAAACAGCACACACTCACACACACACACATGCATACATATAATAACCACAGCTCACAGTCACAAAACATACACATATACCACACACACAACAGACACAAACACACATAAAATACATCCACATACTCCACACACACAAACCCATAATATGTTCACATCATTGTCACCACACAATACTCACTCATACACAAAAGACTTGTACATACCACCCACACAATATAGTCACATGCAAAGCACACACACACACATGACACACGGCACACACACACATCCTCAGAAAGCCCCGTGGGCCTGGCCTGGGCAGGAGAGTGGGGAAGCGTCCCTGAACCTTCTCCTCTGTGTCTCTGTGTTTCCAGAACACACGACCAAGCCTCTCCTCATGACCCCAAGCCTGAGTGTCGTGGAGAATGCCGACACCGTGCCTCTGACCTGCCAGACCATCCATGAGGGGGCTCTGGTCCAGTGGTTACTGAGGGGCCAGCCCCTCCTGCCCAGCGAGCACCTGGTGCTGTCTGCTGACAACAGGACCCTGCTCATCCACCCCCTCTGGCGGAACGACACGGGGCCCTATGAGTGTGAGGTCTGGCACGGGGGCGGCTGGACCCGAAGCGACCCTCTCAGGCTGACCATCCACTGTGAGTCAGCCCCAGCCTGGACCTTCTCCTGCTCCCTCCCTCCCTTGCTTGTAGTTCTTCCTCTAGCCACTCATTCCACAGTTACCGGTACCTGCTCTGTGCCACGCATGTCTGGGCATGAACGAGACAAAGCCCCTGCCCTGGAGGAGCTTACACGGTAGTAGGGGAGACAGACCACAGACAGCTAAGCAAGAGAGATGCATGGTGTGTCCGACGGGGCTAAGGCCAAGGAGAACCGTGAGGCAGCGATAGCGTCAGGAAGGGACGATAGGGGAAGGTATTGCAGTCTTAGCTGGGGTGCTCAGGGGAGGCCTCCGGGAGGAGGTGGCCTTGGGGAAGAAGTGGAAGGAGGCAGGCAGTGAGTCCTGCAGGCAGCTAAGGGAAGAGACCTCCAGGGGGAGGGAACGGACTGTGCGTGGCACGTCAGAGGGCCCCAAGGGGGACAAGGTGACCAGAGAGGTGAATCGGGGGGAGAGTGGAACAGGAGAGGTTGGCAGGTGACAGCGTTGGGGCAGATCACACAGGGCGCTGTAGGCAGTGGCGGGGACACCAGAACTGCAGAGGCGCTGAGCAGCGGAGGGATAAGACTAGACAGGTTTACAGGTCTCCCTGGCCCTTGTCTGCAGAGCGGAAGCAGGGGGGAGGGCGGAGGCTGTAGAAAGGGCCTGTTTGTCCTGGTCCTTGGAGAGGCAGCCCCCAAGGTGGGATGAAATGGGAATGCGTATGCAGGGATGTTATTAGGGGAGATGCTCCTGTGAGAAAAAGCAGAGAGGGAGCTGGGACGGCTGGGAGAGCCGTCACGCTGGGACGCAAGCCTGACCCCAAGTGAGACGGAAAGGGAGGGATCCCTGGGCTGGACGGAAGCCTATGGACCACCATGTAGTCTAAGGAACCTTGTCAAGGCTGTCGGGAATCCCATGCCTCCCAGGAAGGGGCCTGCCTCAGTTTCCCCAACACACTCAGATACTGGCAGAGTGCCGCCCACAGGAGGGCAGGGAACGGATTGCAGGGTACAGCAGCTGAACCTTTGGTTAATTCAACTCTGGCCCTTGGAGGTCTGCAAGGCACCCCCTGTGGTGACCGGGCACAATTGTCCAAAAGACATGAAGGGGCTGGGTCAGGATGGCAGCTGTGGGTGATAAGAAGTGGTCAGACTATGGATATGTTTTGAATATCAAACTCACAGGATTTGCTACTGGTTGACATAAAGCAAAAGAGAAAGAGAGCAGTCAAGAACAAGTCCAAGGTTTTCTGCCTGAGCTACCATAAGCTGAGGTGGAGAAGATTGTGGGGAAGAGGTTCTGGCCCAGGAGGAAGCAGGGGTCCACTTTTGTACATGTTACGTAGCAGGGAGATATAGCTAAAGGGCTAAATGCAATGCCTTTCTCCTCTTTTCCCTCCTCTGTTGCTCTCTCTCTGCCTTCATTTTCAGTCATTAAACCAAAAATACCTATTTTGTTCTCTATGCTGATCAGCATGTTGGGAGCTTGGTAATAGGCAGCCATGACTTCCAGAGCTCACAGCCTACTCGGGGCGGGGAGAGAAACCACCAGGCAAAGAAAACCCAGTGCCATTAGCACTGCCGTGGGATGAGAGGATTCAGGGAACCCACAGGAAGCCCAGCCAGCCAGCGGGGTGTGGGCAGGCTCACCGTGCGGGGAGGTGTCTCTCGTGAGATCTGATGCACCAGTAAGTTAGCTGGGTAGAGCAGGCTCGGGGAAGAGCGTCCCAGAGAAGGGAGAGAAGGTGGGGTGGCTTTGAGGCAAGGGGGAACACGACCGGGATGGACTATCCAAGTGGGGTCTTATTCCTGGATTGAAAGTGGAAAGTGTGGAGGGGTGAGTGATGCCGCTGGAGGGACCCGCAAGGGCTGGATTGTGAGTGAGCTCACCAGCCGTGGGCTTTGTCCTAAGGAGACTGGGGAGCCACGGAGGGCTCTCAGCAAGGCTGGGGAAGTGCCGTGGTTGCACGTGGAAAGACCCTCCTGGCTGCTGTGTCGAGGATCTGAGACTGGGAAGCAGGGGGACAGAGGAGGGATCCCGGTGGCCCCAGGGTTAGGACGGAGAGAAAAGGACAGATTCAAAGGATATTTAGCAGGGGGTGGGGGCAGGCTTTTCCTCCTTTCCTGGAATGTTCCAACTCGAAACTCTCTGCAAGCTCCTTTCCCAGTAGTTAACAATAATTTAAACAAGACAAGACTCAAACTCTTGGTTTGCACGAGAAACCCACAGGCTTTTCGTTGGTCTCCTTCACGGCTGTGAGAGGACCTCAAGTGCTCTTTACAAAGAACATCCCCCAGCATCTCTACTGCTGAGAATACATAGACGTAAAAGTAAATATTGTTACAGAGCCACGTGTCATTAAACAAGAAATCCCATCACAATTTCTTTGGAAATTCACAGGACACGGCAACAACTTCTGAAGCCTGATGTCTTATGAGGCTCCTTTGTTAGAATTTGCTTTGGCAGGAGTAGGATTTTTTGGTTTCGATTTTGATTTGCCTTCTTCCATGCTGCAAACTACTATCTACGCAGCTAAGCAGGAAAGGGAGCGTTTTCTTCTGATCTTGCTGAGACTCCTTTCAACTGCAGTTAAAAGAGCCTTTGCTGCCTGGGGTATGACCTGGAATTAATCTGAGTTAGAATTGAGAAGAGGCCTGGCTGGGTGGCTCAGTTGGTTGGAGCATCGTCCCATATGCCAGAAGGTCGTGGGTTTGATTCCCAGTCGGGACACAGACTGAGGTTGCAGGTTTGATCCCCAGTCGAGGTGCATATGGGAGGCAACCAATCAATATTTGTCTCTCATATCAAAATCTCTCTCTCTCTCAAATCAATAAACATATCCTTGGGTGAAGATTAAAATAAAAAAAGAATTAGGAAGAAAGAAAAAGGCGAAACTTCCAATGTGGAAGAAAATGCGATAACTTCCCAGTGGAGGTTAGGCACATGTTTGGCTCTGCACGCAGATGGCCCTGACCACGTGAACATCACCAGGGGGTCACAGCCCGGGGCGGTCACCCACGTCCAGGCGGAGCTCAACTCCAATCTGACCTTGCAGTGCTGGGCCAAGTCCCAGCCAGACGCTGAGTATTGCTGGACCCTGGAACACTCCACCGTGGTGTATGTGGGGGAGAAGCTGGTCATCGAGGCCCTGACCTGGGAACACCAGGGGACCTACAACTGCACAGCCCACAACCCTCAGACCCACCTGGCCCACTCCACCTCGGTCCTGGTCAGCGTGGTAGGTGAGTCCTTCAGGGGCACTGCCTTCTCCTGGGGGTACAAGTGGCTTTTCCTGGGCCCATGGCGTAGAAATGAGTGCACTGCATGGGCAGGCTGCCAATCAAGGGCTGTTCAATCCCAACCCCTAATGCTCAGGCCCTAGAACCTCTACTTTCTAGCTGTGTGCCCTGGAAACCTCTGAAGCTGCTCTGAGCCTCAGTTTTCCTACCTGAGTAAACGGGGTATGTGATGCCTGCCTCTCATAGCTGTCTAGAAGTACAGTGAGCCGGGGAGAGAAGGAGTGAGCTGGCAAGGGAATCAGGAATTACATCAATAGCAACCGCATGTGACTGGCAGTGAGTCTCTGTATTTCTGTCTTGAGGTCTTGAACAGGCAACACAATGTCACAGGCGTCACATTGTGTTGCCTGGGGCTCACATCCTGGCTCCAGTGCTTACAAGCTGTGTGACTGTGGGCACATTACTTAACCTCTCTGGGCTTCTGATCCCTTACCTGTAAAACAAACATAATAATTATGCATATATATATGTTTGTTGAAGACTAGTTAACGTGTCAAGTTCTATGGCAGTGCTTGACATATTGCATTTGTTAAACAGATAAAATTATTCTTCATTGAGCCTGTGCCACATGCCTGGAGCAAGTCTTTCTATGTATAAAATCTGCAAACGTTTCTTGGGTGCCTCTGCCCGCCAGCCACGAGGCGGGTCTGTATCTCTATTGCACAGAGGAGACTCCGGCCCTGTCTCTAGGGTTGGAAACCAGGCTGGCTGCCTCCAGAGCAAGGTTCTTGGTGGTTCACTAAGCAGAGGACCCCATGCGGCTTCCCAAATTACCTCATTTAATCTTCAAACAAGCCTCCTGGTCTTGTCAGGACTGTTTGCTGGATGGAGAAACAGAGGCTCGGAAGAGGAAGCAGTGAGTTCACCTGACATGCCCGGGGATGTAGGATTTGAATGAGATGCAGAAGGAAAGGCTCTTAGAGCTTAGAGCTTGGCCGATGTCAGTTTCTATCATCATCATCATCATCGTCGTCACCATCATCATCATCACTTTTTATCGGGCACTCACTGTGTGCCAGGCACTGATGCCAGGCCTTTTCCGTGTGATCTCACTGTATCCCTTAAAGAGCTAATAGGGTTATGAATTGCTACGCTTGTCTGACGTATAAAGAAATGGAGGCTCTGTGAATGAAATCAAGAACTGCCCAGGCATCCAGGGAACCCCTCCTGCTCCTCCAGCGCCGAGCCCCTTGCTTGCAGCCTGACCCTACTGGCTGCCTTCTCCATCCCTGTGGCTGAACGTTGCCCCTTTGAGAAAGGTTCTGGGCAGAAGCAGGATGGGCACACAGCAGGCCAATATTAATGATGACCACTGCCATTTATGAATCCATCCCCTACTGCGTGCCCAGTATTAACATTCAGGATCTTTTTTTAAAAAAAATTAATCAATTTACTTATTTTTAGAGAGAGGGCAAGGGAAGGAGAAAGAGAGGAAGAGAAACATCATGTGTGGTTGCCTCTCACGTGGCCCCCACTAGGGACCTGGCCTGCAACCCAGGCATGTACCCTGACTGGGAATCCAAACTGGCAACCCTTTGGTTCACAGCCTGTGCTCAATCCACTGAGCTATACCAGCCAGGGCAACATTCAGGATCTTATTTCATCTTCAAAACAGCCCTGGGCAGTGGGTGTCATTTCCCTCACTTTGCAGATGAAGAAATAAGACTCGAAGGGGAAGTCACTTGTCCTTGGTCACAGGGTCCCAGAGAATGAAAGGTGACGTGGGGAAAAGCCAGGTTCGGTTGTCAAAGCCCTCTCCCGTGGAAGCCACATAGGATCCATCGTCCCAAACAGGATCATCGTCACACCAACACAGCCATGTGAAGTTCCCCCTCTTGTCCCCATTTTACAGAAGATACAACTGAAGCACAGAGAGGTTAAGAGCATGGTCAATGTCACACAGCTGATAGGTCATACTATCACTACCACTAAGTCCTATCTCTCCGTGACTGGAAAACCAGCGCTCATCAAGTGAAGTGGCGATGAAGCCACAAGCTCAGGAGCGGGGGCTGGGGGGCGGGGCTGCGAGTGCGCCAGGCCCAGGTCCCCATTCTCTCTCCTGACCCAGGTCCCCAGTCGCCGCCGTCTGCCGGGTCCATTGCTGGCATTACCATTGGGGTCCTGGCAGTCATCGCCCTGAGCGTAGGCCTGGGCTATTTCCTTTACACCAGAAATGCCAGATGGTAAAACTGGGAATGGGTTGGGAGGCGTGGCCTTTGGGGGCCCTGCCCTGCAGTGCGTGGCAGGGGGTGGGGATGGGGGGGTGTTGCTGACCATGGGCTGTGTCCGTGGCACCTGGGGAATTCAGAGGGTGTGTGGCATTGCCTACGAATGGATGTGCCACATGGGCAGAGCCCGTGGAGATGGGAGGGACTAGATGCACAGAAGTATGAGGGCTTTGGGGTTTCAGGCCCTCCAGGAAAACAGCAGAGGACCCCATCCATGAGGTCACCACACCTACCTCCAAGGAGGAGCACCCTGCCCAGCCCAGCTCTGGTAAGTCGCTTTGTAGCTGATACCCAGGGCAGTGGTGAGGGCTGGGGGAGCCACTGGTGCTGGGAGCCCTCCTGCTCTCGGCTTGGCTACCAGGTCACCATGATTTCATGGGCAAGCCCTGCTTTCTCCAAGCCTCAGTGTCTCCATCTGGGAAATGGGTGAGATTAGAGTCAAGAACTCTAAGGAGTTCTGCCTGTTCCAACAGCCACAGCAAAAACAAGGCATCATGCTGCCCTTCTCTCCTCCCTCACTCTCAGAGAACTTTTTTAACTGATTGCTATAGACAGAGGGAATCAATCACAACACTCCTCTCTGCTGAATCCAAACCTGCCTCATGATCCATCTCAACACAGTGGACCAGGCACCTCTACTGATGGGCAGGAGTTGACCAAAGGCAAAGCGAAACATCTCTGCCATCTCTAGCCTAGAATTCTGGAAGGATGGTCCTCACCAGGTGGAAGTCCTCCAGAGACTGTCCTGTCCCGCTCAATTTGGACAAACCCATGTGACCGGGGACCCACTTGTGCAACTGGGGCTAGGTCTTAGATTTCCATCCTCATCTGTTTCATCAAACAGCCTTCTCTGACCAGGAGCTAGTTTTCTGGGACATCTCAGGTCTAGCTTGCCGGAGATTTGATGAGGAATCCTGGAGAGAAAAAAAAAAAAAGAAAAAGAAAAAAAAAGCAAGGTTTCTATCACCTCCTTCCTGGGAATAGAAGTGACCTAGAAAAACAGCCCCTCCCCTCAGATCTCTCCCTAACTCCAGCCCTGGGCTGGCATTTGATTTTTCTAGACTGGCCAAGGTCCGTGTATGACAATATAGACCTCAAACTTCAAGGCCAGGTCAAAGTCAAAAAGGTGGGTGATGCTCCAGAGGGACTCTCCGTGCTCCTCTGCCTGGCTCTTCTTCAGCCTAGAAGGGCTGTTCCAGTCCTATGCCTTGGGGTGGCGGGGAGTCAGGCATGTTTTCTTGACAACTCTAGTGCCAGCTTGGGTCTCTGTATTTCCTCCTCTGTCTTCTCTGGGGATCCTAAGAGCCTCCTGGCTTTTCCATCTCTTCTCCTTGTCCTCTTGTTCTTCAGTGTGACAATGCCTAGCCTTGAGCCCCCCTGGGAATCAAAAGGGATGTAACTGCTTCTGAGGCTAATGCCATTTCTGAGAATTCCTGTTGTGGCCCCAACCCCAAGCCCTGTGACCTCTTCATTTCTTTTTCTGTCACCAGATGCTGCCTCAAGAGCCCCCAGAGCACTTCTATGAGGTACATTAACACTGCTGGATTTGATTTTAAAGCTGCAGAGGGAATGCAATCCTAGAATTTTAGATTTGACAAGTATGAGGAGCCATCTTGCCTAAATCTTTCTGGTGCATTGCAGGGCCAGGGATGGGGAGAAAGTAGAAAGTGCAAATCGGTACTTTCCAGACAGTGTGATTCTAAGGCAGTCTGTGCCTGTGGACCCTAATCAGTCTCTCCGTTCACTTGCAGATGAAGCCGCCTTCTGCAACCCCTGGGGGCTATTCTCATGGCTCCAGGAAGCCATCGCCTCAACTTGCGTTGCATCCATTGGTCTCCACTCTACCACAAGGAAACACAGAGTACGTCTATGAGGTATTTTCATGTCCCGAAGAGGCTTTGGAGGGGTTGAGAGCTATCACTGATTTGCTTTTTCCTCCTTGCTGAAGAATCTGTGGAATAAACTATCAAGAGAATTTCCCTTTAAAAACCTTTTCAACTCCATGTCATCCATCCCCATCCCATCACTTTATTTCATTGCCATCCTTTTCCTCCCCACCCCATTCCCTTCCTGTTCTTTCCATCCACATGTTTAATCCAGCCCATCCACTCTCTTCCTTAGCACTCACTTCCTCTCTATTCAACGTCCCTATTTACATTAATTTCTACGTGATTGGCTTTCATTTCATCCCACTGCATCCTGTTTCTTCTCATTTTATAATTTTTTCTATTCACTTTCTTCTCTTTCCATTTCCTTCTTTCTTTCCCCTAACTCTCTTGTTCCCATCCCTTCCCCTTCCATTCAATTCCGTTTCACTGTTTTCCATTCCCCTTCACTCTGCTCTCTTCCCTTCATCCTTTTTCATTTCTCTCTACCCATTCACTCTACTGTGTTCCATTCCACTTCATTCCACTCCATTCTTTTCATTCCCCCTGCTCCTCCCATTCCCTTCAGTTGCACCCCATTCCACATGTCTTTGTTACTTTCCATTCCATACTTCCCACTTAATTTCCTGCTTTCAAATCTTTTCATTCCCTTTTATTTCATGCTACTGCATCAGTTTCATTCAATGCTGTTTTACTATTTTAGAGTCCGCAGCATTCTATTCCATTCCCTCATTTTCCATTATTTTCAATTTCATTGCTTCATTTCTATCCTTTACCTCCCACAATGTCCCTTCATTATATTGTTTTCCTCTCATTTCTTCTCCATTCCCTTCCTGTCTTTCTCACTTCACTGCTTTCCGTTCCACTCCTTTCCTTAAGTTCATTCCTTTCCACTCTTTTCCACTCATTTCCATTCTGATCCTGCCTTTGTTTCATGACTCGTCTTTCCACTTCCTTTTATCTGACTTCATTCTTTTCCACTGTCATTTTCCCTTCCATTCCATTCCTTTCATTGATACTTCTTGGGGCAGCATGCCAGTTATTCCACTCCTTCCCCTGCCTTTTGTTTCCATTGCACTCTTTTCTGTTCCTTTCCATTCCATTCCTCTCCACCCCACTCATGCCCCACTCATGCCCTTCCCGTCCCTGTCAGCTACATTGCTGACTATTCCTTTTAACTCATGTCTTCTCCCTTGTGATTCTTCATTTCTTTCACGATATTTACTCCCTTACATTTCTCCCATGGGGGATTTGAGGCAGTTCACAGCAAGCTTATAAAATGGTGCTATAATCACACCACACTATAAAATGGTGCTAAATCAGAAATAGGAATCACAATCAGAAAAGTATTTTTAATAATAGTAGGAAGTCAAGATGTGGATAAAATGTAAAAATATGCTGGATCTGCATAGTGTCTGTCCCTATACTTCTCATTTGTCTTTGAGTTTCCTGGGGGCCAAATGAAAAAGAGAAGTACTATCGGTTTCATCACCCGAAAGGAAGAAAACCATTGGCTCATCCAGGCATAAGCGGGGCTTCCCATAGCAAGTTCAGCTAACTTGGGTGATGGCTTCCTAGTTCTAAGGGCAAGTAAAACTACTTCAGAGAACTCAAGTAATAACACCTATTGTTGGAACTAGCTGGGTTACTTCCTGTCCAGAGATGAACTTTAGATCTTATACTCTAAAGGAGGCAGTCACTGATCGACTTTGAAGAGGGAGAGGTGGAAGGCCAAATCCATGCCCTACTGACAATGTTTTTTAGGTTTGGAAAAGAGACAGTTTAGGGACATAGGATTCCAATACTTTAGTGTCGGAAGGCCGGCTTGGAGTAGAGAGACAAATGTGTTCCCTGTTATTCCAGAGGGTAAGTCAGTTACCTTGGAGGCAATTCAAGGGTAGCCGATGTTAGCCCAGTTGACAGATGAACCATTCTCGAAGTATGTGAATGTCCTACATAGCTTAGAGATTCTTAAAAATCCTCACCCAACGATATAATTATTGATTTTAGAGAGAGAGGAAGAGAGAAAGACAGAGAGAGAGAGAGAGAGATTGATGTGAATGAGAAACATTAATCAGTCACCTCCCCTATGTGCCCCAACCAAGGATTAAACCTACAACGTAGGTATGTCCCCTGACTGGGAATCAAACCCAGAACCTTTTGGTGTATGGGACGATGCTCCAACCAACTGAGCCATTGGACCAAGGCTGTCTTAGGGATTCGTTACAATGCAAACCCTCTGAAAGTAGTTCAAATAAAATGGGGATTAATTGGAAGAACACTGGGGAATCTCAGATAATTCAGTTTCAGAAATTGTGGGCCACGTGGGGACTGGAATGTTATCAGGAAGATTTTTCTCTTATGTGACTGCTCATTTTAGCTGGTCTATGAATTTGTTCCACTTTTCTCAGTCCAGATTGAAATCCTAGGCAACTTTCCTGGTCACTCCTCTTTTGTAACTTCAGATTACATAAAACATCCTCTACTATGTTAGGGTTTCTAGGTTCAGACTCTCCAGAGAAGAATCAGACTGGCTCAGGCTACTGCATGGACTGTGTTTAGGTTGGTCAGTCCTCCAATCAGCTGTGAACTGGTACAAATTCAGCCTCCTTGGCGCCTCTCTTTATCAGGGTCTCGGGACACGTTTGTTCCCTTGTATCAGTAAAGGAAAAGTTCTTTCTGGAAGTCCCACCCCCCAAACTTCCTTTTATATCCCCTTGGCATAAGTGCTGTCATGTGATAATCCATGTTGCAAGGAAAGCTGGGAAAGTGAGGTGGTATACTTCCCAGTCTCTTCCCAGAAACAGGTAAGGGAGAAACATGGGGAAGGGTGTCAGGTCAAGTCAACTCAGTGTCTGCTACATTCTGGAGGGATGAGAAGGAGCAAACCATGCAGAGGGTCTGGAGTGGAACATTCCAAGTTGAGGGGCATCAAGTCAAAAGGCCCTGAGGTGGGTGTGTTAGTGATCTGTTGCTGCATAATGAATTACCAAAAACTTATCCAATTAAAGCAATATACATTTACTATCTCACAATTTCTGTTCATCGGGAGTCCAGGCACTGCTCATATTGGTCTTCTGCAAGGCTGTAACCAAAGTGTTGGCTAAGACTCAGATCTTATCCAAGGCTTGACTGGGAGAAACACCCTCTTTCAAGTGTATGTGTTTATTGGCAGCATTCGGGTCCTTGCAGGTTGTCATCTGAGGGCTTGTTTCTTATTGGCTGTCAGCCAGAGGCCACCCCCACTCCTTTGCCATGTGGGCCTCTCCACAGGCAGTTCACAATACCACCTCAAAGCCAAGAAAGAAGTCGCAATCTTATACAACAGAATCATGTGCATACAATCCTGTACTTCAGGTCACCTTCATCGTATTCTACTGGTTAGATGCCAGTCACAGGTCTTGCCCTCAAGGCCGGGCGGTGGGGATAACATCAAGGCATGAATACCAGGATATGGGGGTTATGGGTGCCACCTTAGCCACTGTCCTCCACTGTGGGGAAATATATGGGCCGTTCCAGGAACAGTGAGGGGCCAGTGTGACTAAACTGCAGTAACAAAGGAGGAAGATTTTTTGAATTTTCAGTGATGAGGAAGGAGAGTGCTAGAGTGTTGGGGTCCTGACGGACAGCAAGGAAAAGGAGGGCTCACCCAGAAGATGGAACTCACCTTTTCTCCTTGTATAACAGGTGCTTGAGAATCCAGAATGCAGCATTTACTGCCAAATGAAGCCGTCAGCGTAATGGAAGTGAAGACCCTTTTTTCAGAAATCCTAGAGAAACCATGCTCAATCATATGCTCAATGACATTTATTGGATGCATATTATATTCCAGCCACTCTCTTTGTAAGCTTTGTGACATTCTGTCTCAATGGGTTGCTCGGGCTCTGGACCCTAGATTCTACTAAATCTTAGGCTTTCGACTCATATTTCTTTAAAGACAACAGAAACAGGGGAAAAGTAACCTAGAATTAGAGGGCCAATGTTTGAGACCTAGCAGCTAGAATGGCTGTAGCTGTATCATAGGAACAGGCAAACACCACCGATGGACACAGCATTCAGAGAGAAGTGTGGGAGTCAGCCAAAGATCTTAGGCTTTTAATGGTGTTTTGAAAATAGCAGCCAAATGCAACCCAACATGAAAGGGGATATCTGCTTAAAAATACTTAAGAGTCTTACCTGTGGATGATTATCTCACTAGAAAAGCCAAGAGAATCAAATGGAATACTATAAGAATTCATAACATTTCAGTAGGTTAACCAGATACAAAATAAATATTTCTTTTAAAAATCCTCATCTGAGGATGTATTTCCATTGATTTCTGGAGAGAGGTATCAATTGGTTGCCTCCTGTATGCATTCCAACCAGGGATGGAACCCACAACCTACACATGTGCCCTGACAGAGAATTAAACCAGCAACTTTTTGGCACACTGAATGACATTCCAATCTACTGAGCCATGTGGCCAGGGCAAAATAAATATTTCTTATAAAAGCAACAACAAAGTTATAAGGAGCTCTAAGGGTAGAAATTATATTTCAAATAGAATATTTCTTGTAGTTGTTAAAGGTCAGAATGTATGTGAGGAAAACTAGGAGTCTTTTGAAAGCATTTAAATAAACTTAAAAATACCATATTTTCATACAGTAGGATTCCAATTTTCTGCTTCCTCCCTGGTGGGGAGGAAATATCACAATTCCCTTACTGGGCTGGTTAATGAGATGTTGGCTGTTAACATAGAACCGGGAACCTTTATTTATTCAAAACAAAACATGTATTTATTGAGTATCTATTATTGCAAGGCACCTTAGGTGCTGGGAATAAGGCAGTAATAAAATAGATACAGATAATTTTTCTTAAGGAGTTGACAGTCTAGTGGTGAGGATAAATGGACAACAGACAACAGAAACACGTGAAATACATTGTGTTTCATAGTGAAACGTTCTCTGAAAATAAAGAGGTGGGACACAGGGATTATGTGGGGAGTGAAGGGCTTGTTTGCAAGTTTACAATGGTTGGTGGGGCAATGCCTTATGACAGAAGGTGACATCGGCTCACAGACCAGATTGTGGGGGATCCTCAAAGGAAGAGCCTGCCATGCAGCATGAACAGCGCATGCAAAGGTCCTGACGTGGGAGTCTTCTTGAGTTGCCGTAGAAAATAGAAATGCCAGCATGACTGGGGCTGAGGCAAAAAAAAACCCCCAAAAACAAAAAACAAAAAACGAGATGAAGGCAAAGGGAAGAGAGGGAGGGTACAAAAGTAACACATTCTTGAAGGGCTTCAACTGAGCTCTCTGGACTAACGGGTTTTCAGCTACTATCTTTGGCCTTGGGGACCAAGGAGGCTGTGCGTGCCAAGATTCCGACACGCTGGTGCTCGGGAGGGGTCCGGTGGGTTCCGCCGAATCCCATTTTCTCGGCCACTCCTAGGCATCAAGCCGGGACCAGGGCCAGCCTTTTCCCAAGTCAGCCACTCCTGCCGCGTCGGCTCCTCAGCCTCTGCCTCCCGGTCCCATTTCTCTTGGCGCTACACAAACTCGAAACCACAGACCCATCTCCCAGCTCTTACCCTCAGCCTCACGCCCAGTTTGGGTCCTAGCGAGTCTCGGAGCCCACCTCCCCTAACGCGCTGGAACCCCGCCCAAGCGCCGCCGAGGCTTCTGGGAATTGTAGTCCGGACTCGCCGGGCCCAAATGCACTTCCGGGTTCGGCTAGAAGCGCAGCCATTGTCCACCGCACAGCTGCTGGCTGTGGCCGTGCACCTCGGCCCTTGGAGGTTAACCCTAGGGGCCTTGCGAATGCCGACTTGGGGAGGGGCAGAACTAGCGTAACCTGAGTCTGTCGTGTGCAGAATCGGGGTAGGGGGTTCACCAAACTCGTCCGGCCCCAGAGCCGTATCGGACACTGAGGCTGGGACAGGCCCGGCCTGGGCGGCGAACCTGTAGACGCCCAGGTTGGTGAGGGGCGGGGCAGAGGTGGTTGACCCCTGAGCGCACGCGCAGCGTCTAGGCGGGAAGCTGGGATTGGGGGTGTGTGCGGGCAATCTGGGACCTACGCAGGTAGCGCTTGCTTCAGCTTTAGGTTATCGAAGTTGGACGTATTAACGCAGCTGAAGATTCTGACACTGCTTTGCGGCGCGTGCGCGGGTCCTGGGTTAGGTGATGTTCTTGTCTAGGTTCTGAGGGTTACTAGGTCGGTGGAAGACACGCTGTGGGCGGAAGTATTGAGGGGGAGGGTTCTCAGAATCCCTCCTCCCCTTGTCCAAGGCTAGGCCTAGTTAGTGGAGGAGGACTTGAGGACCCCCGGGTTGATGAAGTACTCATTTTAAGATTCTGGTTCCTGGAGGAGAGGGACTGTGTCATTGTCCCTATACCCTTGAGCAGGTGTTTGAATAGGAAGCACAAGGTTAGAGGTGAGATCCTAGGCACCTGACTCTGGGATCCTGGAGCAGGCACTGCTCTTGCAGGCCTGGAGGCCCCCTGAGTGGTGAAGACACCGGGCGGGAGTTGCAGATTCTTGCCCTTGGAGAGGCAGTGTTGCTCCAGCGAACCCTCAGTGGGAATGGCTGATAGACTGCAGACTCTCAGGTGGAAGGAAGGACCAGGGCCTAGAGGCAGGATCTAGCCAAAGTGCTCCCTGCACATGCGGGGGGAGTCGGGTGAGGTGGTTCCGAATGGGAACCACCCGAATGGGAATTCCGAATGGGAATTTGGACTAGTAATCTTGGGTCTCATGTAGGCTCGTGCAGAGCCCTAGGGCATTTAGGTTTGGTGGAGACACATTGGAGGTATAGAATTGGAGCCCAGGAAGGACAGAGTTGCAGCAGCTGTCTTCACATGGGCAGCTGTGTGGGAGTGAATCAGGATGCTGCCAGCATGATTATGAAGTAGGTGTTCCCGGGACCTCTGCTCAGGGGCTACTCTGCTTGCAGGCATGAGCATGCCCAGGTTGGTAAAGGGACAGGGACTGTGCTGCAGATTTGAACTTGGAAGGGGCTGTATTCAGCATGGCACCTAGGTGTTCACGTTTGGGTGGGAGGAAGTGGGATGTCCCATTTCCCCTGGGAGCTGGTATCTCACAGACTTGACAACTCTCAGGCCAGTGCCCAAGTCCTGGGGCTGCTTTTGGAGCTTTGTGCTTGAGCTGCTGTTCGGATGTTTGGATGTTTTTGCGGCAAGAAGGCAGTGGACGCAGGTGACCCCTCACAGAGACTTGCAGGTGCCATCTGTGTGTCAGCTGGGTTGAGGCACAGAAGGGGAAATACGTCAATAGATTCTCATCTGAAGAGCAGGGACTGCATAGGACCTGTAGGCTGGTGGAGGGCCAGGTTCTGGATACAGGTTTGGGGCATGAGTCTCCTCTGTGGATGCCAGCAAGAGGAAGGAACCTGGGTGGGTGGCCTCTGCGCAGTGGCCCCTTCAAAGAGAGCCAGGATAGACCCCTGGGAGTGCAGGCCTTGGGGCCCCATTTTGGAGGTACAGGTTCTGATCTTGGGGCAGCTCCAGCTGCAGTTTGCACATGCACTGGCGTTTGGGCAGAATGGAGAGGTGTGGGCAGTCCCAGGGCCCGGGTACTGGCTGAGGATGCTCGGGTGAGTAGAGGGCACAGCTGCAGATTCTGGGCTGCAGAGGGGTAAGATGTAAGGCTGCACCAGGTCTCTCCGCACACACACAGGTGTTTGGGTGAGAAACAAGAGGCTGGAGTATTAGACAAAGGTGCTGGAGTCTTTGTGCAGATGGCACTCAAGTCACAGCCTGGGGATGTCCAGGTTGGTAAAACGACAGCACCTTTCTGAGCTGCAGGTGCCCGGGAAGATGTTTGGGCAGGACTCTGGGCAGGTGTGGCTCCAGTGGGTCCTGTGGAGGTTGTGGAGGAAACAGTTTGGGTGCAGGTTCAGGGTACAGCGGCCTTGTGACCCACACTATACTGGTTGAATGAGATTCCCGTGGGGGTAAGGGGATGGGTAAGAGGGAGGGTGTAGTGGGGGTGAGATGCGTAGGGTGGGATTTGCAGGGGCTGTTCTAGTCTTGTCTTGGGCCCAGAAACATTGAGCTGGTACAAAGACAACTGAAGTACACATTCTGGGCCTGGGAGGGGCTGGCACATGCTGGGATCTGTCAGGAGGCCACCAGTGCCAGGCTGGCTCTGCTGCCAGTTCAGGCCTGAGGACTTCCAGGTTGGTGGAGGGACCAGGTCAGAGCTATACCTTCAGGGCCTAGGAGGGTTTGGAGTGGGAATCTGGGCTAGTGCCGACCCCGAGTGGTGTTGGGAGCAGGTCTGGGGTGCATCTGAGCTCTGTGCATATGCTTGGCTATTTGGGCAGGACATGGGAAGCATCTGGTGACAGGCTGGTAGGGAGTCAGGCCTGGGTAACAGGAGGGTAGGGTCCTGTTCAGGGTCATGACCCTAGGGCCTGGGTCATGAGCTTCCTGAGTTTAGTCAGGGAGTGTGACGCGGCACCATCAGTCCCGGAGCCCTGCTGCTTGTCCTAGGAAGAGGTGCTGGTTTGGGGCTGTGGATTCCAGGTTGGGGAAGAAGGGGTGCACACCAGGGGGTCCTTGATGAGCATGCCAGGTGTCTGTGGGGGTCCCAGGACCCAATAGGATAGGGAGGGACTGGTTTGTGCTGCATGTGGTGGTGGGCAAAGGCTGCATTTGGACGTGAGGTGGGCTTACTGGTATGTGTCCCAGAAGCCTGAGATAGTGGAGGAACCAGTTTGTAGCTGCAGAGTATTGGCTTAGGAGAGACACCAAGAGAACCTAGGTGCATGCACAGCTCTTTGAGCTGGAGGCTGGGCAGGAACCTCTAGAAATCTGCACAGTTCTTATGGGAAGTGCTTCCCAGAAGTGGAGACTAATCCAGGGAGGAGGGTGCTGTTCTCAGGGCTTCTCCCCTTGCAGCTCAGGACCCGAGGGAGGAGAGCATGGAAGAGCAGGATGAGAAGCCCCCAGTGCCCCTGGAGGCCTGTGTGCAGGTGAGTGAGCTTCTCCCCACCCCACCCTGGAGACCCAGAGCTTGTTCCCACCCAGGCCCCACCACCCAGCCCTCTGGGCTTGGGAGCCTGTTCTGGCTCCCTGCAGTGTTTTGGAGGCTTTTGGCCCCTCCTGACCTGCAAGGTTCTAACACACACCATGCATTTAATGAGGCATTTCTTCACGCTTTTAACCCAGATAACTCTGGGAGGAATTGGGCATCCTGTGTCAAAAGCCCTTAGAATACAGATTGCACTTTGGCCAACAACACGGCTTTGCTGGAGAATGAGCACCTGGAAAGAATGTTTGAGAATACACAATGCAAGAGGAGAGTTCGGTGAGCTATGGTAAGACCATGAAATGGAATATATTGTAGTCATTGATATGATAATGAGTATTTACCAACTTAAAAATACTTATTTATGATATGTGTTAAGCCAGTAGCATTTAGAAATGACCGCCTTTTTAAAAATGGACGCAGTTTGTGTATAGAAAACATGTTAAAAGACTGTAAATACAGTAGTTAACAAAGATTATCTGTGTGTTACATTCCAGGTGACTTTATTTTTTCATTTATTTATCTATATTTTTGCACTTCTGTACAGTGCATTTTAAGGTTAAGAAATGAACAACCTAAAGCATTTCCCTACAGCAAATATTCTCTGAAAACATTTAATTTCTTTAAAATGTTAAATTAGGGTGTCACCTTTGCCTTCCTGCACAGTACAGTCCAGAAGCTATTTTGGGGGCAAAGCTAGGCAGTTATCTGCAGTTGAGGGAAGGCTCCCGGGTGTGAGGTGTCACAGCCTGATCTGAGTGAGGAGGGTGTCTGTATGCAGGGGCATCAGTAACCCAGTGGGGTGAGGAAGGTGGCACTGGGAGTCAGCACCCACATCAGGTGAGGTGAGTGTCTATAAGGGTTTGGGGTGCTGGGACCAGAGCAGCTGAGAAGCACATCCACACAGGGCATGCCCCGGTGTGGGAGCCCATGTGCAGTGAGGGTATCCAGCATGGGGTGTCAGAGCCAGAGCAGGGTGACATGTGCAACACGTGGAGTGGGGGGGATGGGGGGGGCACATCCTCGTGTGGCCCCCCTATTCTAAGCAAGTTGAGGGCATCCATACTTGAGTGTAGCCTGGCGTGGAGTATCAGAGCCCAAGCCTGATGTCCAGGGTACCCACATGGAGTCCGAGTCCAATGGGCACGAGAGTGAGTCCAGGAGAAGGGTCCACTCGGCCTTCAGAGTCAGAGCCCAAGCAGGATGCAGAGGGCCCCTTGGCCGAGGGTGGCCTCCGTGGGGCTGCAGAGCCCAGGTGGACCATGGAGCATCTTGCCAGGGTTCTCACCGTCAGAGACGGAGAGAGAGAACCCTGGGGTGAACGGTACTGTCAGCGGGCACGCGAGGTGTCAACTCGGCTCCTGGTTTTCAGTGTGTCAGTGTAGAAGTACGTAGAGATGTGTGTGTGCCGTGTGTATGGGCACGTATGTGTATAGACACACACACCTATATTCCCTGTCCACGTGAGGCCCTGGGAGCGGTGACATTCTGATACTGATGTGCACACCTGGTGCCCAGATTGCGACTCCTGAATGCCTGCTGTGGCTTTTATGGCCTCACTGTTAATGGAAATTTAGTGTTCATTTTTTTTCTAGGACAATGGCACTGCCCTAAATGTTTTTGTATATGCTCCCTTGTACATGTGCCCAAGAGTTTTCAAGGGACTTATGCAAATATAAATTTACATTCCTGTTTTTATCAAAACTACAGGTATAACACATTTTGTTATCATTAGCATTCTACTATAAGCTAGTGATTTCATGTCTTTTCTCATAATCTTAAAGGCCCTTCTATGTCATACAACTGAATTAGCAATCTGTTCGTGATACTTTTTACTTTCTTCACATATTTATTGATTGCCTAGCCAGTGTAAGGCCCTATGGGAGGTACTGGGGAGAAAGATGACTTAGTTCTCATAGACAGAAGAATTGTGCTTCTTATATATCCCAAGGTTACATAGGAAAAACAAAAACAACTTTTTTCTTGTATTAGTTACCCATAGCTGCATACCCTGAAACACAGCAGCTTAAAACAACCAACATGTATTATCTCACGAATTTTCTGAGGGTCGGGAATCTGGGAGCAGCTTCTCTGGATGTTTCTGCACTCAGGGTCTCTGACGAAGGTGCCGTGTTGCTGGCCAGGGCTGCTGCCTTCAAAAGCTTGACTGAGTAGGATGACCCTTTGCAGGGTCACTCAGATGGCTGTTGGCAAGAGGCCCCAGTTCCATACCACGTAGCCCTCTCTCCAGGGCTGCACAACACAGCAGCTGGTTTTTCCCTGCACAAGTGACTGGGGAGGGTGCGCAGAGAGCAAGAACAAGAACATGTTTAAATGCATACAACCAAGATGGAAGCCGTGGTGTCCTTTATCACCTGATCTCAGAACTGACACATCATCACATCCTCTGTAATCTGTTGGTCACACAGACCCACTCTGGTACCATGTGGACAAGGACCACTTAAGGGTGTAACCATCAGGAGGCGCTGTCATTGGGGGCCATCTTGAAGGCTGGCTACTATACTTCTCAAATCTGAATGTTCTCTAGTTGGTTTTATTAATCATTATCAGAAGATGCACAGGTACTTTGGGCCTGACAGATATTAAATAGAGCCACGGCAGAGAGAAATCAAGGGAGCCCAAGTCTTGGCTTTCAATGAGGGACATGAGTCCACTGAACTGGCCTAGGAAGAAACTGTATTGGGGCATTGTCTGAGAGATTTCGGTGACTTACTCACCTGGAAGTAGCTGGACGGAGTGGGGAGACTTTGAGGTCACTCTGAGGCCTGCCTTCCTTCAGGGGCTGAGACCCAAAATCCTTCTGGGGGCCTGTGGTAGAGGCTCACCTGTCCCCTGTCATTGTCAGCATTCAGAGATGGGCAGGTTGTCTGTGAGGTGGTGACTCCATGGTGGAGGGTCTGTTCTGTGTACCTGAGTTATTCATGAATATTCATGGTGATCATAGCGGGTGGGAGAGAGGATTTTCTTGTGTGTGAGAATTAGCAAGACCCTCTCTGGTCAGGAGAATCTGTGAGAAAGGCAGGCAGGGAACCTGCAGCTTTCTCATCAAGGCGGTGGGTGGTGTTACCCCAGGGCCCCATATATCACACCCCTTGCGCTAAAATGTGAGCTCTGCCCTTCATCTCTCGAGGGTAATGAGAGAAATAAACACAGCAAAGAGGGAAAGGTCTCTTGCTGTGACGGATGCCTATTAGAGTTAGTATTCCAACCCCCCACAGATTTAGAGCGTTTCCAGCCAGCATATCCCAAATGCAGAGCTTCAGGGACTGAGTTCAGTACTGATTCTGTGATTTGACTGGAAGCTTTGTTTTGTCCCAAGAACCGCCCCCTCCCCCGTGGTGGGGAGGGTATGTTTGGTCAACTTTATTTATAGGTGAGGAAAAAGCCGAAGAGTCCTGTGTCTGATTTGACTACAGGCTCATGTGACAGGTTACTCCATGACAGCTCTGCTTGTCCCTGTTCCTCTGCTCTGGGTCACATGTGGTTCTACCCAGGTCACAGGACAATTATCTTCTGCCTGTAACTCTTCTCTGTGCAGAAGTTCAACAGTCTGGTTTCTGTTCCCACTCTGTAAAGTATGAAAAGAAAAAGGAAACTGTTCATTCCGAGGGGAGGTGACCATAGAACAAAAAGGATAATCTTTTAATGCTCCAGCCCTGGCTGGTGTGGCTCAGTTGGTTGGAGCATCATCCCATACATTGAAAGGTTACAGGTTCAATCCTTGGTTCACGCACACAAGGGAGGCAACCAATCAGTGTTTCTCCCTCACATTGATGTTTCTCTTTCTCCGTTCTTCTCCCTTCCTCTCTCTCTAAAAGCAATGCAAAAAAAATGTCCTCTGGTGAGAATGAAATGCTCCGGGAGGATAGACGTTAAATGAAATAAACCAGACACAGAAGGATGGATACTACATGATCATTCTTTGTGGAATCTGAAGCAGCCGAACTTGTAAGAGCAGAGAGTGGTGGCTGCCAGGACCTGGAGTTGGGGCAACGTGGGGAAATGTTGGTCACAGGGCACAAAGGTCCAGTCAGGTGGGATGAGTAAGTCCTGGAAGCCTAGTGTGCAACGTGCTGACTGAAGTTAACAGTGATGTACTGTGAACTTGAAGTTGGCTAGGACAGTTGGTCTTAAATGTTCTCACCATACAAAATAATCACAAAATAATGGTAACTATGTGAGGTGATGGGTGTGTTAATTAGCTTGATTGTGGTACTCATTCCACAATATATACTCACAATCAAAGCATCATGTTGTACACTTTAAATATGTATAAATTTTATTTGTCAAGTATACTTCCAAGCTGCAAAATAGTGGGGGGAAAATGGTCCAGAGCACACAGAAGTGGGGGTAAAGGCTTTTAATTAGACTCATATATCCCAACCCTGAATATACATCTAGTCCTGTCAAATTCAGATGACTCGATGCTGGGAGAGAATACAAAGTTGAAAAATACACTGTTCTTTACAGTATAGAATTCATGACCCACAGAAGAGGCATATAGGTAAGTAATACGAGGAAAATGATTTTACTGGAACAGTAAGACTCTGGTAAAAAGAAAGCTAAGAAATCCTAAGGAAATAAGAGATGAAACTTTGTGCTATCTGGGAATGCTTCATGGAAGAGGTGGCATTTGATCTGAGGCTTGAATGATCAGACTTGGAGCAGTGGAGCAGTGGAAAGGGGAGGAGTGCGGATCAGGCAGTCGGTGTGTGGGCCATCCCTGGTGAACTCCATGCACTGAAAAGAGTTAACTAAACTTTACAACCATTAATTTCTATGTGGGTAAAATAGACATCACTTCTCAAAAAAAATTAGGTAGTTGTGTGAGATGTTCTTTGTTGGAGTACTCTGTGTGTTGTTAAACATAGTAGGCAAATGATAGATGGTGGGAGTGAAGATACAGATCAGATATAATACTGGAGACCTTCCTAAAATAGTCAGTAACCCAAAGTGGCTAGCAAGAGTGTGGATGTGTGTGTTCACTTGTGTGACAAGATGATTTTTGAGCATTTAGTTTGAGAGAGAAAGTTGGAAGTAGGCTCTGGAGGGTGAAGCTCTGAATTTTCTGAGAAGGAAGGGCTCCCAAAGAGGTTTCTTCCAGCCACAGGAGGGACTTGAGCTCAGCCATGGTTTGGTGACTTCAGGAACCACAGGGACAAATGTGTAGGCTCAGGTAGCACATGCCTTGTCCTTTTGCTCAGTGGTTATGTTACTGTCAGCACACATTTTTGAAGTGTCTACTGTGCGTCAGTACTGATTTAAGCCCAGTGAAAGCATGGTGAACAGGAGAGCTCAGCTTTTACTGAATCCACTCTAGTGGAAGGGGAATTAAAAGCAAAACAAAGGTGTAAAGAAGTAAAAGCAGCATAAGAGGCAGAATGGACTGTTTGCATAGGGCTGGGAAGGATATTTATGCAGAGCTGACTGAGCAGAACTCATCTCCCTTTTACTTTCCCTGTGAAAACTTCTATTTATTTATTTATTTTATTAATCCTCACCCTAGGACATTTTTTCATTGCTTTGAGAGAAGAGAGAGAGAGAGAGAGAGAGAAACAGTGATGTGAGAAACATCGGTTGGTTGCCTCTCCTATGTGCTCCAACCAGGGATTAAACCTGCAACCTTTCAGTCTACAGGACGACGCTCCAGTCAACTGAGCCACACCAGCCAGGGACTCTGTGAAAACTTTTAAAGCAGAAGGTGTTGAGCAGTTTTGAGTGTGTTGCACATGCCTGGGTTGTGGGCTAGGTCCCCAGTTGAGGGGGTGCGAGAGACAGCTGACTGATGTTTCTCTCTCACATGGATGTTTCTTTCCCTCTCTTTCTCCCACCCCCTCTCTGTCTCTGAAAATAAATAAAATCTTTAAAAAAAGAATTATTAAAAAAATACAGTGTTAAAACATAGACAGTGAACCTACTCAGTTCTTCTGCTCCCCAAAATAATTGCTTTTAATGCTTTGGAGACTGTCCCTCCTGACTCTTCTGTATATTTTTATATTCTGTAAAAATCTATTCATATTTTATAGACTGTTCATAGTTTATTCATTCAGCAATGTATTATAGACATCTTTTTGTCATTTATACTCCTCAGTTCATGCAAATCTCTTTCTTGCCTGCTAAATAGTATTTAGTTATCTGGATAAAGCATAATTTATTTAACCAGGTACTTATTAATGGACATTTAATCCATCCTCCCATTTTTGCCAGGATAATGTAACCCTTTAATAAGACTCCCTGAGACTTCTGGCCAAGATGGAGGCATAGGTAGACACACTGTGCTTCCTCACACAATGAAAAGAAGGACAACAACAATTTAAAAACAAAAAACAACCAGAACTGACAGAAAATCAAACTGTATGGAAGTCCGACAACCAAGGAGTTAAAGAAGACACATTCATCCATACCAGTAGGAGAAGTGGAAATGGGCAGCTGGGCAGAGAAGACTCACGGCAAGGTGGTGGCTGGCGGACCTGGTGAGGCAGTGGATTGTGAAGTGGGGTGGGCAAGACTGCAGCTGGCTGAAAGGTGATAGCTGGCAAACCCAGCGAGGCAGCGGATTGCGGACTGGGCAGTTCCACATTCATGCGCAGATAAACCGGGAGGAACAACTGGGGAGCAAGACAAACTGTGCAGCCCAGGGCTCCAGTATGGGGAAATAAAGTCTCAAATCTCTGATTGAAAATACCTGTGGAGGTTGCAGCTGTGGGAGAAACTCCTAGCCTCACAGGAGAGTTCATTGGAGAGACTCACAAGGTCCTAGAATGCACACAAACCCACCCACCTGGGAGTCAGCACCAAAAGAGCCCAATTTGATTGTGGGTAGCGGGGAAGTAACTGAAAACTGGCAGAGAGTGGAGCAAGTGCCATTGTTCCCTCTGAGACCCCTTCCCCACACATACAACACAGCGATGTGGGGTGCCCTGCCCTGGTGAACACCTGGAACTCGGCCCCTTATACAACAGGCACACCAAGACCAAACAAAAAAGGCCCACATGAAAGAACAGATCAAAGCTCCAGGAAAAATACAACTAAGCAATGAAGAGATAGCCAAAATATCAGATGCACAGTTCAAAACACTGGTAATCAGGATGTTGACAGAATTGGTTGAATATGGTAGCAAATTAGATGAAAAAATGAAGGCTACGCTAAGTGAAATAAAGGAAAATGTACAGGGAACCAGTAAGGAAACTGGGACTCAAATCAATGGTGTGGACCAGAAGGAAGGAAGAAACATCCAACCAGAAAAGAATGAAGAAACAAGAATTCAAAGAGATGAGGAGAGGCTTTGGAACCTCCAGGACATCTTCAAACGTTCCAACATCCAACCCATAGGGTTACCAGCAGGAGAAGAGGAAGAGCAAGAAATTGAAAACTTACTTGAACAAATAATGAAGGATAACTTTCCCATTCTGCTGAAGGAAATGACTTCCAGGAAATCCAGGAAGCCCAGAGAGTCCCAAAGAAGTTGGATCCAAGGAGGAACACATCAAGGCACATCATAATTACATTACCCAAGATTAAAGATAAAGAGAGAATCTTAAAAGCAGCAAGAGAAAAGAAGACAGTTACCTACGAAGGAGTTCCCATAAGACTCAGGTGATTTCTCAAAAGAGACCTTACAGGCAAGAAAGGGCTGGAAAGAAGTATTCCAAGTCATGAAAGGCAAGGACCTACATCCAAGATTACTCCATCCAGCCAGGCTTTCATTGAGAATGGAAGGGCAGATAAAGTGCTTTTCAGATAATGTCAAATTAAAGGAGTTCATTATCACCAAGTCCTCATTATATGATATATTAATGGGACTTATGTAAGAAAAAGAAGATAAAAAATATGAACAGTAAAATGACAGCAAACTCACAGTTATTAATAACCACACCTAAAATAACAAAAACTAAGCAAACAACTAGAACAGGAACAGAATCATAGAAATGGAGATCACATGGAGGGTTAATCAGCAGGAGAGTGGGCGGGGGAGAAGGTACAGAGAATAAGTAGCATAGATGGTAGGTAGAAAATAGACAGGGAGAGGTTAAGAATAGTATAGGAAATTTAGAAGCCAAAGAACTTACATGTATGACCCATGGACATAAACTTAAGTGAGGGGTGGGGGAGGGAATGTGGGTGGGAGGTGGTGTGCATGGCAGAGGGGAATAAAGGGGGGAAATGGGACAACTGTAATAGCATAATCAATAAAATATATTTTAAAAAGACTTCCTGTACACACGTAAGTGTGTTTTCTACAGTATTTCTTAAGGAAATACTTACAAGTAGACTTACTGAATGTTACATTATGGTTTTAAAAATATTTCCATTGAAAAGACAAAAAGAAAAGCAAGAAGTATCGACAAACACTTAAAAAATCTGAGTAAAGTCTGTGCCTAATTTTGAAATATTGTACTAGTATCAGTTTCCAAGTTTTGACAGTGTGCTCTGGTTGTGTCTGATACTAGCATTGGAGGCAGCTGGGTGAAGGGTACACAGCAATTCTGTTCTATTTTTGCAGCTCCTTGTAAGTCTTAAACTACTTCAAAATAAAATTGTATTTAAAAACATATATTGCCAGTCCACAAAGATTGTATCAACTTAAACATCCGCTCAGAGGGTCATCCACTATATGACCCTCTTGACCAGTGGGCTACCATAGGAGGAGTTGTTAGCAACAGGCAGATGGCCCACTCCATGTGGTTGGGATTTTGGTTACATACAGGGGTTTTGAGCAAATCAGTAATAGGAGGAGGATAATGGGAGGTGGAGAAGAAAGGTACAAATATGGAAAGCAGGAAGGCTAGAATAAAATGTACTGAATTGTAATTGGAGGTACCGGTGTGAATTTACAGTCTCTAATATATAGAGATAGATAATCATAGAAAGAGTTTTAGTTTTATCTGATTCAAAGAGGTGACCATCTTTTGTATATTCACTGGCCATTTTATTTCTTTGTAGTTGAGTTACATTGCATTTTCCTTTTTCCATTTTTCTGTCAAGGCTACCTTTTTCTTATTGATTTGGAAGAAGTATGTTAAGATATTTATTGCCGGTGCCTTTATGGTGGTACTTTCTGCCAAATGTTTTATGAAGTTAGTGTATAATTTTTTTTTCTTGGTCATGCTGTATTCTGTCTCATTTGCTCACAAGTCTGAGATCCAGGCATTCGGACCGGGCCCAGCTGGACAGTGCTTTTCATCTCCCTAGTTCCTGAGTCACTTACAGCTCCATTCAGCTAGGAACAGGGCTGGCCTGGAAGATCCACAAAGACCTCATAGGCACATCTGATGTTTCAGTGCCTTTCCAGAGTTACCGCCACCCCATGGCTCACATGAGCTTACTGACAGGAGGGAGTAGAAGTTTGGTGGGATGTGTTAAAACAGGTAGTATGTCAAATCCTAGCCTACTCACAACAAGAGTTGTGAGCCTACTTACAATGAGAGTTTTGAGCTGTCACTTAACTCCCTTTATTTTCCTTTCTCTTGTCTATTTTACCTTCTTAGGACTCTATCCTTCCTCAAAAAATGATCATCAAGGTTGAGAGAGAAGATGCTGGGTCACTGGCCATCCCATCCCAGGTGAGTTGGACATATGGCCACTTCACATTGAGAAGTGTGTGTGGCTGGTTGGTGGCAGAAACCAGATTGAAATGAACTGGGAAATGAGTAGAAAGTAATGGAAATGGAGATAAGAGTGGGCAACTTTTACAGAATTTGGTTATTATGAAAGATTGAAGTTGAGGGACTTTTTTTTTTTTTAAGGATTGAAAAGGTTTGACTCTAAGTGATTGCTGGAAGGAATTAGTGAAGAACAAGAAATTAATGATCAGGAGAGATAAGATAAAACTATAAGGCAGAGTCCTTGATTAGGGCCAGAGGAACCCATTCAGAGTATATGTGAGTAAACTGGCTCTATAGAGGAAGGATGCATATGGGACGAATGAGGTTGAGGGAGTTACGTGAAGACTTGGATTTGTCTTTGTGAGCAAGCAGGTGGAGTTATCTGTTAGGCATGAGGGTGGGGACTAGAATAGAGAGCTGTTTGTGAAGTGTGGAGAAGCTTTACAACAGTAATTTTGGATTATGGGAGCTCAAGCTGCTCCAGGAAGCCTGTCAGGGTGCTGGTGGGTCTGAAAGGATCATTCAAAGATAGGACCATTAATTGATAACACACTATCCAGCTGCTTTTGTGGGTCCCCCCAAATGGGGGCAGTCTGTAACCTACTCTCCACAGATGGCAGATTGACATTCAGATTTGTTTAGTTGTTGTAGGCACGTACATTCAGTGGAAGCCCCATAGATCAAGGTAATATTTGAAAGAGAATTTTTGGATATATTTAATAGGATTGAAATGAATGAGCCACAGACTCTAAACTGAGCAATTAAAATGGAAAAGATGGAGGACTTGCAGCCAAGATGGAGGCATAGGTGGATGCACCATGCCTCCACGCACAACCAAGATAGGGACGACAACAAGTTAGAAACAGAATAACATCTAGAACTGACAGGAAATTGATCTGAATGGAAGTTGGACAACCAAGAAGTTGAAATAGACCCATTCATCCAGACTGGTAGGAGGGGTGGAGTTGGGCAGCCCTGCACAGGTCACAGTGCGGAGAGCAGAGAGAGTTGGGACCGGGTGCGTAAGGCACCTGGAATGCGCAAGACCGCAGCAGGTGGACCCTGAGTGCACAAGCAGCAGCTGGCAGACCCCAGCCGAGGGCTGGCAACTGGCAGACCCAGTGAGGTGACAATTGTAAAGCAAGGCAGTGCTCGCAACCCAGGATGCCAGCGCTGGGAAATAGAGCCTTGGGACACTGATTGAGGACACCTGTGGGAGTTGAAGCACACAAAAAGACACTCGGCCTCACAGGAGACATCCTTGGAGGGTCCCACCGTGTGTACAAGCCCACCTACATGGGAATTGGCACCAGAGGGGCCCAGTTTGCTCGGGGGAAGCAACAGAAGGGACTGAGGTCCCACGGAGAACGGAGCAAGCACCATTGTTCCCTCTCGACCCCACCCCCACATACAGCATCACAACCCAGCAACTGGGGTGCCCTGCCCTGGTGAACACCTAAGGCTCCGCCCCTTACTGTAACAGGCGTGACCAGAAAGTGAGATGGCCAAAACAGAAGAACAAATCAAAGCCCCAGAACCCATCCTTTTAAGCGACCAAGAGATAGCCAACCTATCAAATGCACAGTCCAAAACACTGGTGATCAGGAAGCTCACAGAATTGGTTGATTTTGGTTGCAAATTAGATGAAAAAAATGCAGGCTACAATAAGAAATGAAGGAAAATGCACAGGGAACAAATAGTGATGGGAAGGAAACTGGGACTCAAAACAATAGAGTGGACCAGAAGGAAGAAAGAAACAACCAAACAGAAAAGAATGGGGAAATAAGAATTCAAAAAAAAAAAGGGGAAGCTTAGGAACCTTCAGAACATCTTTAAACATTCCAACATCCGAATTATAGGGGTACCAGAAGGAGAAGAGGAAGAGCAACAAGTGGAAAAGTTATTTGAACAAATAATAAAGGAGAACTTACCCATCTGGCAAAGGAAATGGACTTCCAGGAAGTTCAGGAAGCTCACAGAGTCCCAAAGAAGTTGGAGCCAAGGAGGAACACACCAAGGCACATCATAATTACATTAGCTAAGGTAAAAAATGAAGGAGAGAATCCTAGAAGCAGCAAGAGATAAGGAGATAATAACCTACAAAGGAGTTCCCATCAGACTGTCAGCTGATTTCTCAAAGGAGACCTTACAGGCAAGAAGGGGCTGGAAAGAAGTATTCCAAGTCATGAAAGGCAAGGACCTACATCCAAGATTGCTCTATTCAGCAAAGCTTTCATTTAGAATGGAAGGGCAGATAAAGTGCTTCTCAGGTAAGGTCAAGTTAAAGGAGTTCATCATCACCAAGCCCTTATTTTATGAAGTGTTGAGGGGACTTATCTAAGAAAAGAAGATAAGAAAACATGTATAGTAAAATGACAGCAAACTCACAATGATTAACAACCACACCTAAAACAAAAAGAAAAGCAAACTAAGCAAACAACTAGAACAGGAACAGAACCACAGAAATGAAGATCACATGGAGGGTTAGCAACAGGGGAGTGGGAGGAGGAGAGAGGGGGAAAAGGTATGGAGAATATGTAGCATAGATGGTAGGTAGAAAATAGACAGGGGGAAGGCAAGGTATGGGAAATGTAGAAGCTAAGAACTTATGACACATGGACATGAACTAAAGGGGGGGAATGTGGGTGGGAGAGTGTGTGCAGGGTGGAGGGGAATGAAGGGGGGAAATGGGACAACTGTAATAGCATAATCAATAAAATATATTTTTTAAAAGTGGAAAAGATAAGGAGGACATTATTCAGAAAGGAAAAGAATATAGACTGGTAAATAGTAATAGTAGACATACCAGTAGAGTTAATGGCCCCAGACCATCCAAGGACAAGGAGGGTAAAGGGAATGATTGATCAAGTAAAGTGGAGAATTCTGCTAGAGGGGCGAGAGGGTTGGGGGACTGGGTGAAATGGTGAAAGAATTAAGAAATACTGATTGGTAGTTAAAAAAACAGTCATGAGGATATAAAGTACAGCATAGGGTATATGGCCTGCAGTATTGTAACAGCTATGTATTTCCAGTGCCAAGTGGGTACTGGGAATATCGGTGGGGGGGGGGACACTTTGTGAAGTATATGATTGTCTAATCACTAGCTGTACACCCGAAACTAGTACAAAATAATACTGAATGTAAACTAATTGAAAATAAAATTTAAAAATAGTCTGGTGTAATAAAAAATAATAATCTGATTTAATCCAAGAGTAGGCATTTCTGTGTGTGATTTGATAGGTGGAATACTTTATGTTCATTAAGTCTGGGGTCTCACTCTAAGAGTAGGGTGCTGAAGAGCAATTCCAGGGCCCAGGAGTTTGGCTAGCCATGTGACGTGATGACTGAGAGCACAGGCTCTGATGTCAGGCAACCTTGAGTTTGTATCCCAGCTACCAGCCTTAGGTGCATGTGTTAAATTCTCTAGTTCTTCATCTGAAAAATGGCCCTGCTAATAGAATTTTCTCACAGGGACCTTGTGAGGATTAAGTGCATGTTAATTTGTGACATGGCTAGCACACTGCCTGACACCACACAGTAAATGCTATATTAAAGTCGGTTATTTTTAGAGTATTATCAGAGAATTGTACAAGTAGAAGCTATAGACCAGTGATTTTCAACTGGTGTGCCACAAGAATTTTTAAAACATGCAATGCTTGACTAGTTAGTTAGGGACATTGGCCTCTTTTCCCTTTGATTGTCAAATAAAAAATGACAACAGCCAACACAATGGTAGCCGTCCAATGTGAATGTCATGTCTTAAACCATAAACATGTAGGTCATATAATAGAGTTACATCTTACTGGTCACGTCGCATAATAAGGTTGCATCTGATCAGTTAATTCTGGGTACCAGAAATCCTTATATACAAATATAGGCACCTAATTTTTTTTAAAAAGTCGCTTTGAAGCAAAAAAATAAAATTACTTTTTTTTTTGTAAATCAATCAAAATTAGACCTACTTTTTGTCAAATCAGCAAAAAATATATTTTTTTAGCGTGTCACAGAATTTTAGTAATGAGTTTATGTGTGCTGTGAGATGAAGAAGGTTGAAAATCACTGCTGTAGACAATGGGAGACAAAGCAATTCAAGTTCTTAGAATGGGGGATGAATCCTAGGTATTCTCAGTCTTCAGGGGATGGGGATGGTGGTGTTTAAGAGGTTGGTAGGACAAAGCTCTAAGAAGTGAGGTAAATGATAAGGATTTCAGTGTAACCAGGAGACTCACCCCCTTCCCCTTTGATGCTGAGACCCTGGGATGGAAGAGCATGTCCACCCTAAGCCTGTGAGGACTGTGGAGAAGGGAGTCTACAGCGGGGAGGGTAGGTTTCCATTAACACAGGGGTGTGGAGGGAATATTTGGTGAACATGTTGAAGCTGTGGGGTGTCATTATTAGAAGATGAGTTCCAACGGGCATGGTTGAAGGGTTTGGGAAGGAAGTTGGAAGAGTGGGGAATTGGGGCCAAGTGAGAGGAAGAATAGAATGTGTGGGGATAGAAGTTAAGAAAAGCCAGTGTCCACATGTTGAAGGACTTTTTTTAATTTTAATCCTCACCCAAGGATATATTTATTGAATTTTAGAGAGAGAAAGGAAGGGAAGGAGAGAGAGAAACATCGATCAGTTGCTTCCCATACTCGCCTCTACCAGGGATCAAATCCACAACCTAGGTATGTGCCCTGACCAGGAATCAAACCTGCAACCTTTTAGCGTATGGGACAATGCTCCAACCAACTGAGCCACCGGCCAGGGCCTTAAGGACTTTTTCACTTGAGTATTTGATAGGCTCTGAGTTTTAGGTGAGAGAAGACCTATATAAGAATTTGGACCAGGATTCTTTTGATATATTACAAAGTTAATTCTATAGATTCATGTAGTGACATAATTTACCAAATATGTATTTAGTATTTACTATACACCAACACTCTGCTAAGCACTGGAGTTAGAGTTTCATACTATAAATGCTTTGTACCTGCTTTCAGGGACTGCAGACTAGTGACAAAGATGACCATTATGCAAATGATAAGAAAGTGTGGCATTTTGCCAACATATAGCTGGGGTAGGGTGGGAGGTGCTAATCTAGTCTAGTATTATTTATTTGATATTTGAACAAGCTTATTCATAAAGATACCTACATGAAATAGCAAAGAGGAGTATAGGGATGGGCAAAAGTGGGTTTATAGATCAGAGCATGTGAAACACAGTTTATTTTTGCATTAGTATGATCATAACTTGCAGTCTTCTTCCATGTGCACAGCTGTAAATCTGCTTTTGCCCACCCCTATATATTAAATTTGTTAGATGGAAGCATGGATGAGAGGTTGGAAAACAGTGCTGTAGAACCATATTCAGCAGAGGCTGAGAAATAAGTGATATATGTCAATCCCATTTTGGGCTAATCAGGAAAACCTATGAGATTTTAGTGAAACTTACAGCCCCAACTTAGAAAAATGCAGTATGGCAGCATTTTGCATGGAGTTTCATGGGATCCACGGGCCCTGTGTCCTACTTATGGATTACAGCTTAATATCAGTAACACTTGCTCGGTTAAAAAAGCCGTTAGTGGCAAGTGGCATGGAGTTTCCTGGCTTTCGCTGCCTTCGGGTGAGGATTGATCACCCTCAGCACTTCTTTTTGAGATCAAAATTTCTGCCCACTAGTTTTGAGAATAGGTCCTTTCCTGCTCAGAGGAGGCAGTCCCTTTTATTGTGTATGGCAGTCATGACTGAACATCCCCTAAAGTCCTGATAGTACAGATCTGAGTGTAGACAGCTGGAACTGTCATCTGAAGTCTAGAGGTTCAGGGTAAAGGCCACATTGGCTCTCACTTAATTTCTCAGGGGTTTCAGACATAATAATAATTGCCAGCCTTTATGCTTTGTTCAGTAAACTCTGCTAATGGCTATATATATATATATATATATCTCACAATTAACTGAATTATATATATTCATCACTATGTGTATATATTTATCACTAAGTACATATTCATCACTATATCTATCTATCTATCTATCTATCTATCTATCTATATATATCATCACAATCAACTGACTCAGAAACCCAATAACTTGGATATGATTAAGCCTAATAAATAGAAATAGAATAAACTCACCGTTAAAACACAGATTATCACATTAGATATCTTTTTTTTTTTTTTAATTTAGACATACGCTATTTATAGGTGGGAAAACCCAAGTCTCTTTTCTTCCAAATCCAGTGCTCTTAACCTCTACTTCATTAGGGCCCACATTTCATCTCCTATTTCAGGCATTAGCAAAGTGGAACCTATGGACCAAGTGTGGCCTACCACCTGTTTTTGTAAATAAAATTTTATTGTAATAAAGCCATACCCATTTGTTTATTTTCTGTACCTGCTATCTTGCTGCAGCAGCAGAGCTGAGTAGTTGCAATAGACTGTATAGTTTGCAAAGCCTAAAGTATTTACTCTTTGGCCTTTGGTAGAAAAAGTTTACTGGTCCTTATTCTGTTAGTGTCTTGGGAATTTGGAGAGAATTCTATATACCAGTGCAAAAATCTGAGTAAGCATTTTCTTTAAGGTGATCAAAAGAGAAAATTGTTGTAAATTGTTGAAAATTGTTGTTGTAAAAACAGATCCAGCATCCAAAACCCAAAGGGGCTTACCTAGAAGACACATGTACACCTTGACTAGAATTCATTGAACACTGACTTATCTCAGGACAACTTCCAGGGCATCGATTTTCCTTTCTTCCATCTGTCAAACTTTTCTTCCTCTTTGAACATTAGAAGGAAATGACACAAGAATGTGTGTCCTGTTTTAGGAAGGAGGGAACTTCAAAATTGTGACTGTGGACTTCATTCAGGAAGAGGACATTTTGACTCCCGCTGAGAGGACTCTGGACAGAGATGTGATCCTGGAGAACCACAGGGACTTGGACTCTTGGGGTAAGGATATAGTCTCCTTTAGTGAAGTGTGCATGTTGAAATTATTTCTTGTTTTCATTGATTAAGAGTTCTGGAGTTCAGCCCTGGTTGGTGTGGCTCAGTGGATTGAGTGCTGGCCTGTGAACCAAAGGGCCGCCAATTTGATTCCCAATCAGGGCACAAGCCTGGGTTGCAGGCCAGGTCCCCAGTAAGGGACACATGAGAGGCAACCACACATTGATTCTTCTCTTCTTCTCTTTGTACCTCCTTCCCCCTCTGTCTAAAAATGAATAAATAAAGTCTTTTTAAAAGAAGTTGTGGAGTTCAGAGGTAAGATTAGCCACACATAGATTTTTTGTGTGTTTTTTATTCCCCAGTGAAGATTTAATTTTAATTTGTAGGGTAGAAAAGCTTCTTGGGTTTGAGCTTGTTTAATCTTCATGGTTCCCAAAGGCCAAAGACTGGGTCTTACAAATTCTGCAGTAATTTTCTTTTGTCTCTAGCCAAGAAACCCAGAATCCTATATCTTAACCTACCAGCTTTTCAAAACAGACAAAGTTTTTTAGTTGGAGCAAGGGATGAGTATAAAAAGAATTTCCCAGTACACATATCCAGGTGAGCAACAGACACATAGAAGTCCTTATAGCTATAGAAAGTTTGATTGAAAAATTCCCAAAGGGCATGCCACATTTTTCTCCCTTTTCCACCTTCTAGTGAACTGTATACATCACCACTTTTCCAGGTATTCTCTAATGCTTTATTAGCCACCCAGGCTTCTGCTTATGGGCTAACCTCCATTCTCTATCACTGGGAATGACAGGAATCCAGGGGGCCATATTAGCCCCTAAGGCATTTAGGGGACTCTGGGATAACAATGTCCCCATTCTTCTTCCTGGTTCAAAGTCATTTGCTCATGTCTCACTGACACAGGCTCTGTTAGCAAGTTTCATGCCTTCAGAAATTCCTAGAAATGTAGACACTAATTTCTATTTCAGTGAAAATGTGTTTAGCACTAAAGAGGATGGAAAGGGCCCTTTATTACTTTGCTAAGAATTGCAAAGTTGTTTTAGTCTGTATAGGTGATCTTAATTTGGAATATGGAAGTTTAGATTTGGTATCTGCTCTCAATATTCAGTAAAATTAAGATTAAATCATTGCATTTTAATGCCATGTTATACTGTTGGGCTTTGGTAGTTTTCTTCTTACTGCTTTATCCCATCCTTTTGCTTCTCCATCCAGGTTCTACTAGCTGAAAACAAATCTACCTGTATTGATATTTTGCATCCTTTCTTGTCAGCTGTGTTCCACTATTCTAGCTCTAACATTTTTTGGTTAGGATGTTTTGTTTTGCTTTCTTCCAGACTTGGCAACTGCACTTGGAAGAAGAGAGTCAACATCAAAACAGAGAAGTTTTGATGATGAACCATCCCATGGAGTGAAGTTAGAAGGGTTGGCAAGAGATGATCTTTGGTTATCTTCAGGTGAAGAAGTTTGGATTTGTAAGGACCAGTTGGAGAAGCAACAAGAAAAACCAGAAAGAATTTTAAAGAAAGTGGCATTCACTCAAAAGAATGCTATTACTCATGAGAGAGTCTGCAAAAGTGATGAACTTGAGAAGGGTGGTCTGAATTCCAGCCTTCTTTCACCCAAGATGACACCCATGAGAAACCATTTTCACAAACATGCCTCACATGTTAAAAAATTACATCATTCAGTTATGAATAGTCATCAGATAACTGATGACAGTGAGAAACTATGTGAAAATAATGAATGTGGAAAAAAACTGCAGAGCATTCACCTTATTCAGTTTACAAGAACTCAAACAGAAGATAAATCTTATAGATTTAGCAACAGTATCCAGTCTTTTAGCCATGGTATGCCCCTAAATATACATGAGAAAATACATGCCAGAGGGAAATCCTTTGATTTTAAGGAATATGGGCAAGTTTTGAACCATAGCATATCCCATAATGAACAGCAGAGAATTCCTGTTGAAGAGAGACAATATAAATGTAGTAAAATCTCCCAGAATTCATCGCTTGCTTCAAACATGAGAAATTCTGAAGAAAAACCCTTTGAATGTAACCAGTGCGGGAAATCCTTCAGCTGGAGCTCTCATCTTGTTGCACATCAGAGAACTCATACGGGGGAGAAACCTTATGAATGTAATGAGTGTGGGAAATCCTTCAGCCGGAGTTCTCACCTTGTTTCCCATCAGAGAACTCATACTGGAGAGAAACCTTATAGATGTAATCAGTGTGGGAAATCCTTTAGCCAGAGCTATGTCCTTGTTGTGCATCAGAGAACTCATACTGGAGAGAAGCCTTATGAGTGCAGTCAGTGTGGAAAGTCATTCAGGCAGAGCTACAAGCTTATTGCACATCAAAGAACTCATACCGGAGAGAAGCCCTATGAATGTAATCAATGTGGGAAATCATTTATCCAGAGCTATAAACTTATTGCACATCAAAGAATTCATACTGGAGAAAAACCCTATGAATGCAACCAATGTGGAAAGTCTTTTAGTCAGAGTTACAAACTTGTTGCCCATCAGAGAACTCACACAGGAGAAAAGCCCTTTGAATGTAATCAGTGTGGGAAATCCTTTAGCTGGAGCTCTCAACTTGTTGCACATCAGAGAACTCATACTGGAGAGAAACCCTATGAATGTAACGAGTGTGGAAAATCTTTCAACCGCAGTTCTCATCTTGTTATGCATCAGAGAACTCATACAGGAGAAAAACCCTATGAATGTAATCAGTGTGGGAAGTCTTTCAGCCAGAGTTACGTTCTTGTTGTACATCAGCGAACTCATACTGGAGAAAAGCCCTATGAATGCAGTCAGTGTGGGAAATCCTTCAGACAGAGTTCCTGCCTTACTCAACATCAGAGAACTCATACTGGAGAGAAACCTTATGAGTGTAATCAGTGTGGGAAAACATTCAGTTTGAGTGCTCGACTTATTGTACATCAAAGAACACATACTGGAGAGAAACCCTTTACATGTAATCAATGTGGGAAAGCTTTTATTAACAGCTCTAAACTTATTAGACATCAGGCAACTCATACTGAAGAAAAACCTTATGAATGCAAATAGTTTGGAAATTTTTTAGCCAGAGTCTATTCCTTTCTTCCTCCCTCCCTCCCTCCCATCTAAGGAAGCACATGTATGGGAAAGAACATGTATAAAAATAATGTATGTGGAAAAGCTTTCAGTTAGCCCTCTGCTATTATGTATCTGGAAATTTCTCCTGGAGAAGAAATGGGGGACTGTGGATCATACATCTTACTTAGCAATTCCATGTGCAAAATCAAACTTAGTCTTTTGTTTAAGACTAAAGACTTAGTCTTTTGTTTAATGAGACATTTTAAACAAAAGTAATAAATATTGGCACTTTTCCTTGCAGAAAGCACTTAGAATTACCATGACCATTAAATGAACAGCATGCCGTGGAGTGATTGCCAGTGAGGTAGACCTCTTTTCCAATAAAGAGTAAATGAGAATGCTAACACTGTGGTGGTGTTGAGAAGTTTGAAAATTGTAGTTGTTAGGAATTAGGCTGAAAAACAGTAGTTCAGTTATCTTAAAACATGATTTCCCCACTAACTACTTTGTATTCTCTTTCATACAGCACTTTCTCTTACATGTGAAGATGTTGTAAAAATTAGGAAAATGGCTATGATACAAAGTGGAAAATGCAGGATGGAATTTAGAACATTCATTTCTCAAACCATTGTCATAAGATATTTGTGTTGTGAATCAGAATTAAAAGGGATTCTAGGTATTTCTATTTGATTTTTAGGTTTATGCCTGGTCTTTTCTTTTTCAGGGCGGGGGGGAATGTATACTTTTTAAAAAGATTTTAATTATTTTAGGCAGAGGGGAAGGGAGGGGGAAAGAGAGGGAGTGAAACATCAATGTGTTTTTGCCTCTCACTGTGCCCCCCACTGGGGACCTGACCTGGCTCGCAGGTCATGTGCTCTGACTGGGAACTGAACCAGCAACCCTTTGGTTCACAGGCTGGTGTGCTCATTCCACTGAGCCACACCATTCAGGGATTGTTTTTGATATAATAAATGATATGATGAGTGTATATTAGTCACAAGAAAAAGAAAGAAAGGTTTTCATCTCCTTTGACCATTCAGAAAAGACTGATAAGACTGTTATCTGACTGACAGCCAGATAACAAAGTTTCCTCAGGGTTCTGAAATTTCCATTTGGATTAGCGTGATCAAGTCACTTAGGTAGAGCTTATATTACCCAGGAATATTCCCTGTTGAAAATAAAATATCTTCATGGGAATGTGGAACTGGAAATTTAGGCCAGAAAGGGTTTCATAGGAGGGATTGAGATTCATGGGCAGTGTAAGGGCAAGTGGAATTTTTTTCATAAATCCAAAGCAGTGTAAAGGAGTTCTATTTTTAAGGTGGTTTTCCCCTCTCCCCTCATGTAGATTGTCTTTTCTGGTCTAAAATATGTTCCTCTATGTGAGAGTCCTCTGAATGGGAAGGCACTGCCCTGGCTAAATGCTCATTACTTATGCTTGCAAGAAGGGTTTTAGTGAGGTAAGATTTGTATCTTATTGATTTGTTTAAGATTTGGTTCACATATCTTCCTGGCCTTTCCCCCTAAATCATGAATTCTAACCCTGTGGATTATGGACCTGGAACCTCTCCTCCCAGAGAATTAATAAAAAAAAAAAATAGTTGGAGTTGAACAGAGAAACCTAAAAATAGAGGCAAATTCTCTGGAGAGAGAAAGAAAAAGCTAAAGTGACATCTGACTGGGTGTTTTCCCAGTAAAATTCTGTCCCTGGAACATGACCCTAAGTGCAGCCATCTCAATGAGGATTAAGCCCAACATTGCAACACACTGGGAAGTGACTGGTGTTCTGGGGGAACAAGTGTCAATGGCTGGAAAATTGGCTTGCCACCCCAAGAGAATCTGTAGTTAGCCCATGACTGCATAGTCAGAGGAACAGCTGGAGTTCGACCTGCATTGCCTTTTGGAGAGGGCATGAAATTGTGAAAATCTGACTAGCTCACCCACCCCAAATCATAGGTAAAATTGATGCCAGTGCTAGGTACAAGTGGATTATTGTTGCTGGACATGTTGAATCTTACTTTGAAGGTAAGGAGTCATGATTTCAAAAGTACATATAAAGCCAGATGGCTAAGGAGGGCTCTAAAGATTTCAAGTTTTGGAAGTGATCTATTGCAAAGTAACCTCTTGAGTAAATGTTAAAAACATGTCATTGAAAATGAGAAGTTGATAAAATGGCAAAAACAATTTTTGAAGTGAGTGTGTGTGTAATTTTCTTGGCCAGGTTGAATATGAGAGTCATCTGTGTGTGTTATATCAGTTCATAGGTGGTGATTTATGGTTACCAAGTGTTTTGAATAGGACATTCAATAAGTAAACAAAAATGTTAATTTCTATCATTTTCTCAATAATTTCCCTTTGTTGGAAAGGTAGTCTTTTAATTATGAAAATGGTTAACCAAAAATGAAAAGAAGTTAAAGTAAAAATATACCAAAAATATGTAATTAAATTTCTGAAACTAAAATTCAGGATTGAAAAAGGGAGTCAATAACTTGACTTTAATGATGTGTATGTGTTTATATATAATCATATGTGATGTATGTTACATCTATATGTATATATACATATATACCATATAACTTACATGTAATATTCCCCTTACATTAAAATTGTATAAAACTCACAAAAATAAAATAGTACATTGCCATAGAAAAATAGAGATTTTACAGGTGAAATTTCTTTTACCATACTCCAATAAAATTAGAAATAAATGAAAGGTGACCAAAATGTTTTTAACTACATGGATATTGAAAAGTACTCCTAGAACCATTTGTGTTTTACATTTTTTCCAATTTTATTGAGATATAATTGACAAGCTTAAGTTTAAGGTGCACAACATAATGACTTACATATATTGTGAAATGATTACCACAATTAACACTTATCATTTCATATAGATATAAAAAAAGAAAATGTTTTCTTCCTTGTGATTGGGACTCTTATGATTTACTCTCTTAGCAACTTTCAGATATACCACACAGCACTGCTGCTTTCATACATGATTTTTGTATTTTTTAATTTCTTCTGGATTTTGTGTTCAATATTATGCATTCTGTATGTTTTCTTTAGTATACTTGATAAGACCAATTAATCTTACCTCAGCCTTTAGAACTTTATCTTTAAAAAATCTGTATTTTTTTCAGTTTGTTTGAAGAGGTTGCACGTGGACTCAGTTTCCCTCTAGAAGACTAGATGAGTCACATCAGTAAATAGCATTTGGCTCTTTATAAATTGTGGCAGCCTGAGTTCTTAGTTGGAAGGCACATGAGTCAATTCTAGCAAGTTGATTCAGAAAAAGGAGTTCATTAAAAGGGTATGAGGTGGCTCCAGTTCCTGGCAAGAAAGACTATGTTGGGGGCTTTGTTAACAAAAGCAATTGGCAAGTCATGCTGAAGGGTCTATGAGAGTTCCTTAATGTTCTCAAAGTTCCTTAAGGCACATTAATTTCCTTAATATATCTCTGCATTGATTACTTCTGGTTGCAAGTCTGGGGCAGGTGCCTAGGTCTGGTGGAAGCTATGTGGGAGGTTGGGAAGTCAGAGATGCTAGTGCCTGGTGTGTCCTAGAGCATCCATAGTGCTAGGTGGGCTCTACCTTCCACTCACTCTAATTGTTTGGGCAATTTGTTATTCACAGAATTGTTATTCATTTGCTAAGCGGCAGCAAAGGAAAAAAAAAGTTTCTAGTGCAGTCCACCCTTTTGCCTAGCTATTATGTCAACACTTTCTTCATTTTCTATACTTACATTGTACATGTAGCCTCCTACTTAACATAACACGTCTCTCTTACAGCAAAAAATGTGTGTACCCTCTCTTGTCATTGCATCCAGTTCCAAGTCTGAGATCTCTGGGTGGTGTTCATTCCTTTTCTACAGTTCAGATGCTGAGCCTTAAGAAAAAAGATCATAAAACCAGGTCAAATTTTACTAAGCTAATTTCAGTTACCTTGCTTGTTGCCAGTAGGTATTCAGAAGCTTTCTCAAATCACTTTTGTGAAACCACTATGTTGGTGACATAGTTTTTACTGCTTAGGATAATTTAATCTGTATTTGGGTTCATTTGGGGTCTAACTAAAGCAATGACTTTCATTACAGTGAAAATAGTATTGTTACTTTTGAAAATTTCACTTCTGACATTTGACAAGTGGATCTTCATGTTGGAACACTAATGTTGGATTTTCAAAATATCTTGTGGCCCACATGGTATTGATTTGTAATCCACTGAGGATGGCATTTCAGTGGACATAGGCTGATAAATAGCATTGATAAACCTTTCCATGGTCCTCACATCACCTGTCTGGACTCTTCAACATCTGTGTTCTATTGAGCGTTCATTCTGAGGCCATGACCATCTTCATGATCATTGCCTATCTTCTTTAGGGAGGATTCCTGGAATTTCACTGTTGGGTCAAGTTCTTGAAACACGGATAGTCTTGGATATTGTACCTCCCTCTTGTTCAAGTTCTACTAGTTCATTCCCTGGCAGTGTTTGCTGAGGTCTGGATTGTTGGTATCTTTTGCCTTTGATTGACTGCACCACAGATCAAACAGGTCGGTGATTCTTTTCACCATAAGCACGTCCTCTTGTTCTGTATTTGGTTTGTCCATGTTTTTTTCTCCACCATTACTTGCTTTCTGAAAGGACAAGAACCACACTACTCCTGCAGACTGGAACTGTCTGTGGGTGTAAGTTCCTGATTTTTTTGTGCATCAGAAAAATGTCAAGGCCATGCTATTAACCCGGGTTGGTAATTTCTTTTTTAAAACATACAATATGTAGAATGCAATCATAAGTGGAATATTGCTGAATTTTTAGAGTAGTGATTAGGTAATAAAGGACAAAACAGAAAAGCCAGAGAGGATTATTCTGATGAAACCTTGAACTACTTATTTGTGTTCTCTAATATTACTATTCTCTACTAATTACATGGGGATGCCATGGATAATACTGGTGAACTTTCTGATTTAGTATTTTTTTTACTAAATACTTGCACTGGGGTAGAGTCCATTGGATGCTCTTCATGATCTGGTGCTTTAACTAGATATTGGTGAGTGTTGATCATCTAGACCTGTATGTAGTATAGCTAATTCCAAGATGTGTCCCCGAGAAACTGGACACCCAGTCACCACAGGCTACACCCATCCTTGAGTGCTGTAGCCTCTCTCTGCAGATGAGTCTCCAATTACGGCTGCTATGTCCAAAAGGAAGATGGGAAGACTGCTGTGTTTGGGGTTTTGTTCTGTTACTGCTGGGTAAAGTTCAGTTGTGTTTCTTTTATAAAAGGAAAACTAAAGTTTCTAGCTTTAAAAGAAACTACAGAATTATGGGGTATTTTTGTATTTATAAAATATTCAACTTGGTCAGAAAACACTGAATGAAAAAAAAAGTTTGAGTAAAAGATGGAGACTAGGTTAAAACAAGAGTTAAATTGGAAACAACAGCTTTAGTTCATACCCTTAAAGGCTGGACAGCCTTTGGGTTGCACATCATTCTGAGGATCCATCAGTTACGCAGCAGCAATGTGGAACCAGGGCTGTTTGGTGAGTAGTTTATCTCGAGGCAGTATTGAGTATTATATCTCAAGGAATAATAGAAATGGGCTTGTAATATCTTGTGGGTAATAGATAAAAATGTTTTCAGATACATTCATATGATGTGACATTGGCCATAGGGGCCACTAACCTGAGTGAAATTCCTACCAGCTATTAGGAACACTTGGAGCATTGAG